ACTGTATAGATATGGTGCTAAGGTATTCTAAAAAATGTAGTGAATAAATAATACCTAACAAATAATAAAACAAAATAAAAAAAAAATCCATAAAAAAAATGAATTTGCAAAATCCCAACAGTCACACTTGAATTTTTCAGTATTTATAAGCGCAAGCAAAAAGAAAAGTCATAATTTCCTGCTCATCTAAGGAATACACTTTTAAATCTGAGAACCAAATCAGAGCTTAACATGTACGTGGATGAGGAACTTTTATTACGACTCATTAATACATTACTTCTTTGTATTATTATCTAATGTTACTTTATATTTTTATCTTTGATTGATTCAATTTAATTTAAATCATGTAGATAGATACAAGACATACGCTTGTAGTAGTTGCAATATATTTAAATAAAATTTGTTTGAAAATACGTTACTCCCTTGTTTTTCCCTTGATTATGAGCTCCATTTGAGACTCTGAAAGAAATATAATTATAACTTGATGGCTCTAGAGTTACATCCCTGGAAATGTGGCATTGAGGATGACTGGAGAGACAGATGTGGTCCAGGTGAGGGATGTGTGTGGAACAGTCACCCAGTGAAACTTTTCTTACTAATTCCAACAGTTCCTCATACATCCCTTAGTATGTTTTCCAAGACTCAGTCAAAATCTGGTATAGGAAGTCGTCCTGATGGGTCTCACGACGTGAAAACGGTGTTGGTCTTTTAGATCTATTCAAAACAAATACCCTACGTATCCCTATAATTACACACCTAATAACCCCTCATCCCAAACCATACCCTAAACTTTACTAAAAGTCCATAGATGGCTGTAGGCTCTGTTACTGGAGCAAACACCAATAAACCACCTGAAGAAGAAGAAGGAAACATGGCAGCTCTAAAAGATAAAAAGGAGTCTTCATCAAATGTTTGCACAAAAGCGGTGTTCATCACCCAAAAATACATATAAAATTGTGCATTGTAACAAATAGGTAGATGTTTAGCAGCACCTGTTCATATTTTCAATGCGATTTTTCAGCACCAATAGTGCAGATGAAGCAACACTATGGTAGTGAAAAGGGTATTCATTAAACTTCAAAGAGGAAACTGTACTAATTACATAACAGTATATCAAAAGTTTTGCTTGAACGCCAGCTTTCAGATTGTTAGCTGCATACAGGCCAAATTGCCAGAAACCGTAAAATCTCCAACTTGGAATCCGGCGTAGCTCAAGTTCAAAGCCTGTGCACCATAGGGTACAATTATATTTTTTTTCGAATTTATTTTTATCTACGTTCATTACTAACTTCATAGCATGTTTTACAGGAGTGTAGAGTTTTCAGTTCTCAAACGTCTAAACAAGGGGCCAGCTTACCTGTTTTCTTTTTTCTGGACAACTTTCTACTGCACACAATAAAATCAACTGCAGTAGTACAAATATTTTTTAAACTATACACAATTGAGGTAGAAGAATTTAATAATTATTAGAATGTTTACTAATGGGACTAGACTGATAACTGGGCTAACAGAGACAGATGTTGGTAACTTACATTAAGAAAATACTGATGAAATAGATTCTCTGACATTGTCAATGATAACAAATTAAGTCAAAGAGATGAAAATGCACACACAAATATGCCTACAGTAAGATCTCGATTTAACAGATTCCGCGATTTAGCGGATCGATCCTCCGGTCCTTTCAGAGGGACCCATAAGATCAATGTTACAATTTTTGCTGATTAACGGATTGAAATTACAACCCGATTTGATTTAACGGATCGTAATTTTCGGTCAATTGTTTTTTTTTGCCCCTGTCAATTCGTAAGATGGGTGACATTCTCACGTCATGTCTTGCCCTTGCATATCATCATTAAAAGATGCACACCCTCGCGACACGCGATCAAGCCGATCACGCGTGCCAATCAAGGTCAACGGCTGTACTAATTAGACAGCTCATTTGCATAAATCACCTGTTCATCCCAAATCAAAACAAAACACGAACGACAATAACAGCCAGATGCATTAATTGCATTGTCATCGTCTTATCTCATTGTGCATGTTGTTATCGGAAGTTTTGGTGTTTTTTATCAAGCGATAGAAACATAGGATTGTCGAGTGATTTAGTGATTTTGACAATGAGTGCTAAGAAAACGCAGCGATCCTATAGCAGGGAAGAAAAACTCGAAATCATTTCCAAGTACAATGAGATAAAGGCTAAAACCAGGAAACTTCAGAGAGACATCGCAAAAGATGATTTAAAAATTTTGGCAACCATTAATTATATTTATTTTTGACTGTTTGCGATATGATATTATTATGTTGATCAATGGGAGCACTGAATTTGGGACTGCTGAGCTGAGCCGATTCTCCGAATCCTGACCTACCCCAAGGAGCGAGTCAGTCTGACACGTATCTTGTGGGGCAGTTTGAGGGGAGGGGTGAGCAGTGGAACCCGAATTGAGTATTCTCGATAACTGTTTGTCCTTCTCCCTTTTATGCCGTGCTGCGCGAATAAGAAGGCGTGTCAATGACCCTTCTGGGTATTTAAGTTCGTAAAAAACTATGTAACTTGTACAAAAAAACCGATACCTCCTCTCTTCTCTTTTTCCTCCTCTCCTTTGCTGGCAAGGGGCTAAACGGAAAATTTCCAAATGTTCTAAGTTTTTCCAAGAGGGAAAATGGAGAATAGTCGATCGATTGATGGATAATTTTCATAATTGAAACCATTCTTTAACGCCATTTAGTCAAATTATGTTGTCGTGCCTCAAAAACTGATCCAGGCCATTTTCTTCGGAAAATATTGTGTAATAACTTTAAAGACACCACAAAAGAATATCCCCGATCATTAGACAAAATGATCTGCAATATTGTACTAACAGCATGGTTTGACTTTCAATCATTTTTAAAGGAATCTCTTTAAATCCAGAAATGATCAATGATTCAGTGACGGTGAAATCGTTCTTCTACTTACAATGGTACTACCTTAAGTTAGAATATACCAAAGACCTTGTACAGGTAACTATAAATTTAATTTTGCTGACAGTCTAAGCTTGGCATCTGTAGGATTTTTCTTGGAAATTGTCTGAAGTTAGATTAAGGTCTAGTTTCCTGTGGCTTTAAAGTGAGGCTTCTTAGACACAGAATTTTGTGCCAGACCTTTGAACGGCGCCACAATTTTATTTTTNATCAAGTGATAGAAACAAAGGATTGTCCAGTGATTTAGTGATTTTGACAATGAGTGCTAAGAAAATGCAGCGATCCTATAGCGGGGAAGAAAAACTCGAAATCATTTCCAAGTATAATGAGATTAAGGCTAAAACCAGGAAACTTCAGAGAGACATCGCAAAAGATGATTTAAAAATTTTGGCGACCATTAATTATATTTATTTTTGACTGTTTGGGATGTGATATTATTATGTTGATCAATGGGAGCACTGAATTTGGGACTGCTGAGCTGAGCCGTTTCTCCGAATCCTGACCTACCCCAAGGAGCGAGTCAGTCTGACACGCTTCAAGTAGGGGCAGTTTGAGGGGAGGGGTGAGCAGTGGAACCCGAACTGAGTATTCTCGATAACTGTTTGTCCTTCTCCCTTTTATGCCGTGCTGCGCGAATAGGAAGGCGTGTCAATGACCCTTCTGCGTATTTACGTTCGAAAAAAAACTATGTAACTTGTGCGAAAAAACCAATACTTCCTCTCTTCTCTTTTTCCTCCTCTCCTTTGCTGGCAAGGGGCTTAACGGAAAATTTCCAAATTTTCCAAGTTTTTCCAAGGGGGAAAGTGGAGATTTTCGTCGATTATTGCCGAAATCAGCTATTTAGAATCAACAGATTCTGCGATTCAACGAAATCAGCCTCCGGCCCCGTGAAATCCAATAAATCGAGGTCTTACTGTATTTCTTGAGCCTAGTTCATTAAAAAGCATCATTTGAAGAAAGGGTTGGTAAAATGTTACATAAAAAATTCAAATGAAAAATGGGTCAGTTGCGCTGGTCACAAAATTGTCTTTGGATGCATAATTCTTGTAGATTAGCAAGAAATTATAAGATCCGTCCAAATCACAACTCCCTTCGTCCAATATTAACCAAGATATTGCCCTTTGAAAAGTCGCGATTTTGACGTCATCCACCGCGGTAGTGACACCCTTGGTTTCGTCCTCTTTCGTTTGATCAGTAATGCAGAGGGCGCAATGCAAAACTTTAACGACATTAAACATAAGCAAACTCAAGAAACAGACGGATTTGCTCTTTGAGGCTCTTCTTAACAGGAGGTAACGCACTCGACGCGGAGAGACTAGGCGGTCGGTCAGTTCACCACAGTTTGTTTGTGTTTAATGTCGTTGAAGTTTGGCGTTGCGGCTTTTGCATCACTGATGAAACTAAAGAGGAAGAAATCAAGGGTGTCACTACTGCGGTGGATGACGTCAAAAACCGGACTTTTCAAAGGGCAATATCTCGGTTAATTATAAACGTAAAAAGTTGCGGTTTGGACAGATCTTATTACTTTTAGCTAATCTACAAGAGTCAATCATTAAAACACGATTTTGTGACCAGCGCAACTGACCCATTGTGCGCACTTCATTAAAGTTTTTCCCATCAGCACCGTTTCCTTCCACTGGTACGGGGAAGAGGGATTTTAAGAATAACTCCTGTAGAGGTAAAAAAATGAGAAAAAGAGGCATTCATGGCATGTTTTACTTCTTTTTTTTTTTTCCAACGGAGTCACATCAAGATAAAACAATCTCTTCATTGGATTTGGCTCACATGTCCCTTTTTGAACCGATGATTTCGTACCTTCCAACTCAAGAGTAAGGCTATTCAACCTGATTTAAATGATTGCTTACACAAGAGAAATTATCTCCTCTGAGGAAAGAGAGGTGAAAAAATTGAAAAGCGGATCACGATAATGTATCCTTGAAATCTCATTAGAATGATCGAAAAGTACAATTTCAATGCAAACCATGGTACTAGCTGTCACTGGAAATAATTTTTGAAAGGAGATCAGCACGAGAAAATTTTACCGTCTGAGAAGCTGCATGAGGGTCATCTGATGAAATGGAGGAGGCAGCCAATTCTCGCCCTCCGGATTCTTCCACTGTTAACGCATTGAAGTCACGAGTAACGTCGGATACCTTCAAAATAAAAAAGGAAATAAATAGTAACATGTTAACTGCTTCTACCCTTCTACTGCTGGGGAGCCTCTACAACTGTTACAGGGCTTTTAGCGATAATCAAACGGCAATATTGTATGTTTACCAGAACCGCACTTGGAGTTACATGTTCTTTTTTACTAGGAATACAAACGATTACATGCGGGTTTCTACTTCTTTTCAATTTTTGAATTCCCTGCATTTTCCCTTCAAAGTTTGCAAAAGATAATTCTCCACTAAAACGCATTCATCGCACTGGTGTAACTTAACCACTCTGCTGAGATTATGGCCACTGACAACTTAAAAAAGCTACCTTCGGCTTGTGAAAATCTTGTCCAACTTCACTACCACACAATACTTTTCCACAAAATATTAGGCTTACATGGGTACTCTTGTTAAAATGTATTCTCTTGTCAAAAGCATACTTCACAGCCAGTTCATGGGAATTATTGACTGCTTCATGTGATCAACCTAACCTGCTAACCTAAACTTCTTAAAAATTTGTTGATCAAGTTATTTACATAAGAAACCAGCATGTATTATTAGCTGTGGATGGCATTTTAAACTTAAAACACGAGAACAGGCAGCTTTGAGGTTTCAAACTCTCATCGTTGAACTATTTTCAGTAAAACTTGTCACCTTTTAAATTCTAGAGTTGACGAAAAAATTTCCTGGGTTTCCTATGTAATTTCTGAAAATACCTCGTATGTGAAATGCAGTATGCAAATTGACACTCCCCGCAAAAATTGTGAAGGTCAATGTTTAAAAACTTTATTTAAAGGATCTTCACACAATGATTAAGCAAATAAAGTTGGAAAGTACTTTATAATATATTTCAATCTTGTACAGCTTAAACAAGGTGCAACCACTACAAAGATGCTCAAAATGAGTGTAATAAAAAACGATGTACACACGAAAAACCTTATTTTTACAATTTTTTTTTCACTAACTTTTGGTCCTACGTTTAGTCAAAAATGAAAAGAATTGATTGATTTAACTAAGGAATGCATTCTGTTGGAAAGATCATTTAGCCTTTCCATCATGCCCCAATCCTACAAAATATGACTTAAAAACTTCCTATTGCTAACACCTCAATGCAAAGTTTTCCCAAAAGCGCCTAGAATTGAAGTTCACTCAAGGAATCTTGAGTGCGCTTCAAATTTTTCCCCCTCATTTGACTGGAGGCCCAGTATCATGTTTTTTTTTTCAAAGATAAAATGTCCACAGCCACTTGAAGCATAGCAAACTGTATTGCTTGGTAGTAACAATGGGTTGGTTCCTTTCTGATGAACTCGGTCCAACTGTGCTCATAAAACTTTTCTATAATTGTAACTTCTTTCATGGAATGAAATAGTGTCCTGACAGTTTTATGTATATTTTTTTTTTACTTTTATGTTGTCTAGTTGAGGGCGTGAACCTCTTTAGGTCAATTTTTTCTGGAGCTATAAACATTCATATACTGTGCAAATCATTATCAAAGATTACGTTAGACTGATAATAGTCAATTCTCTCAAATCTTTTCCCTTGATAATACCTATTTTCTTAGTGTTGATTATTACTAAAAAAAAGGATGGAAAAGTTTTCCAGTAAGACCACTTCAATGACCAAAAAAAGTTTGATTCTAGTAAAACATAGAAAGCCATTGGGTAAAGACGTTCCAGCAAAAGAGAAAAGTTTTTGATGAAACAGCTACAGCACTGAAAGAAATTTATTGATTCTGACGTGAAAAAAGCTGCACTATATTGAAAGAAACAGTCTGAACTTCTGAATGAGAAATGAAACAGAAGCCAACACTATTGCTAGATATGGTTGAAGAAGCAACACTTTTTCCTATTTAATCCCATATGATACATCCACATTTTATCGTGCAAACCTGCCAACTTAGAGACCTAACTACAGAGAGATGCAAGGTTGAATTGAAGGAGGAAAAAATTACCTGTGTGAGTGGGGGATCTTTAAATGTTGCTAAACCTCTGTCCACTAGCGTCTTGTTTATTATGACATCTTCCTCACCGTTTGTATCATAAAGCACCATGTCAATCTCTAATTCGTCATTCTGCAATTAAATAATGTCACATTTATCATAAACTAGTACATTCTCACACAAATGGACGCACTGTGCAAGTCAGAGATAAAGATATATGACATGTAAAAGTGACAAAAAAAATTATAGCACTCAACAAAGTAAATTGTAAGGATGAAAAAAACCTGGAGTAGGAACAGAGACTAGAAACATCCTGGTCAGCCAACCAATTTGTAAACACATAAGTTGGTGATCATAGCCAAGATGACATCATGACTCTGCATTGCGCAGAGTATTCTCACTATAGAGAGAACAGAGACAAGTTTCCCCGTTGGAGGAATGCTGTTGGGCGCAACATTGGTTACGTCCAATCAGAAAGCAACTGTAAGGATGTTTCGGATCCCATTCGGAACCCGACGATGTGCCAGGACGAGCAGATGTGTCAGCCAACGAGCCAGCGTGCCATGTAGTGAGCAAGTATCCAAATAGCATTACGTAAGAACAAGCGGCCGTAATTACAAATGACAAAGGCTGTAAGCCACACCAGTCAATAGGCACAAGTTGGTGATCTTACGATCATTGTCAAGTGATGCCATGACTCTGCATTGCCCAGTGTATTCTCTCCTATTAGAGTTATGCTATTTGAAGGAAACAGTGCTTTATTTTGAGATGCTTGGATGACACGATGGTACCTTCAATTCGAGTGCAGCTCCAGGCCACTTTAATGTAGAGATCGATGCACTCACTTTGCTTACCATGTTACAATTATAACCTTCAATGGGTGCCACTATCCTTACTTCTGAAATGACAAAGTTCTGAAAATGATGCTTTTGTTGGTTAAAATCGAATATTTGAATCAAGTTTCTTGATCAATTCAAAGCAACTGATTCTGTTAATTTGGTGACTGCATTGTGTTCTGTGTTCTTTACACACATTCTCCAACTAAGAACCTGCTAATAATTCACAGCTTCAAAAATATGTCTTTTGGTACTGTCAATTTGAGGCTGCTACTTCACCTTTTGCTTGTGTTTACCACGACTGTAAATTCTTAAGTTTACTCATTATTTTTAATAGTTTTAAAGCACAATTTCAACAGAACCCTATTTCCCTCAATTCCTTGATATCATATTTCACTGAAACCATCTCTTTCAAGAGCTTCTGTCTCAATTTAGCAACCTCATGTGTTGTAGGCAGGCCTTAAAATATTGATCTGCGCTGAAATTTTCCACACATTCTGATTTAAACAGATCTGAAAATTTTGACTGAAGCCTGGATTCCAAGTAAAGCGCCTTTGCCACCTGGGAATCTTCAAACCCTCTCTCCCAAACTTTGATTCCATAAAGGTGATTCTCTAATACTCTTCTGTGTCTCCAACTTCATAAAATTTACAATTACTGGAAAATAAAGGCTGGTATGAGTGGTTTGAAATACTCAATAAGCAGTACAACAAGATCATACTACTTAAATAGAAGAAAAAATAAAAATAATACCTTAGATGTTTTGATTTCCTTTATTTCTGCCATTAAAGGCACGTCATCAGTTAAATCGAAGAAGAGGTGATTGGCATCAACTTCCCACGTTTTTCCAGAGGCTGGTTTTAAGTTAAATAATCGACCACGAATTGCTTGAGCACACATTTCTTCAAAATCTTTGTGAAGAAACCTCAAATCTGTTTTTGCTATTTTCTTAGACGTGCCATAATCCATGTAATAAACCTAAAAAAATTGATAATTCAATGAGATTGGTGTTTTTTTTGTTTTTAGTTTCCAAATATTAGAGCTCATGATTAGATGGAGTGCGTTATGGAACACTTTTTGTTCTACTGAATATGAAGAGCTTTGATGAGAAAAGTTGATGAATCACTGACACAATATACAAAATAATGGCAAAGTAATAGAATCGTGTAGACTCAGCAGTATTCTAGAATCCTGTTATGACAAAATAATTCTGATGGGATTTGAAAAATTAAAAAATAAACAAATAAATAAAAATTATATAATGCCTGACAGAGGAAAGAAATTAATAAGAAAATTTAATTTTATTGAGGACATAAAAGCGCTTTGAATAAGAGTAGGTTCAAGTAAGTGCAAAAGTAAAAAATTATGACTTACTGTGACTTCTCGAAGAGTTGGAATTGATACAATTTTAACTCGATGCCATCGATTATCCCCTGCATACTTGGCAGCACATACTTGTCCAATAGCAATTGTTGTGGGAGGCATACAATAATGTTTTTCGTCTTCATTATAGAACGCCCTGAAAATAAAAGAGCAATCAGTTGTAGTGAGATTGAAACCATCCCTGCTGAAGTGTTAAGGGTATACATTTCCTCTAAGGCCTCACAACGCAAAAAAAGCGCGCATGTCCTTAGAAATCAACATCTACTGACAGAAAAAATGAAGGAGAGTCACAAAACACCGTTGAATTGATAGCACATATTGCAAAGCAATTTCACACTGTTAAAAGCAAGTAACGCAGATGTGGATTCGGAAAGTATCAAAATGCTTATCGATGATGATTACATAAGTCCACTGAAACCAACGGTTTGAGCAGCTATTCTAGTGAAATGGTCAAACACATTTGGACCTTATACTACAACATACTGTAAGAGTAGTTGGTTGGTTGGCAAATCTACCTATTTGTAAAGGTGCTTTAGCCTTTAAAGTCCCTAGGGCAAGACTTTTTACCATCTATTTTAGTAGCACTAGAGACTCCGTGGCAAATCAACTCTTCAAGTTTTCATTGTTGTCAAGTTGTCAGAGCATTGCACTGGCGCCATTGAATGACTTACAGGCAAGCTCTGATGTTCTAATTTATACTGCAAAGGGAGATTAATTTTTTAGGGATTTTTGACGGTGTGAAAAGTAAAGCAGCAAAAAGTTAAAATGGACTCAGGACTAAACAACAATAAAAGTTGTGAAATTTCCGGGTCTTAGGAGGTTAATAACGTAAACCATTAACATCTTGAGAATGAAGTATGTAAGCACATCTGTATGTGTCTACCTATTTCTTTTCAACTACTGACAATTTTGCTAGATTTGAAGACTTATACTTTGGCTAATTTTGAAGATTTTTGAACCGAAATTTTTGTGGAATGTAGTGCAGACTAATGTAATATGCATGAGAAAAAAACAGGATAGTAGAAGCATCACTTCTAGAGGGTGAAAAAGCTGCGCTGAGGATTGAATGTTATCCATTCTTTAATTCCAGTGGATTCCAGGCAATTTAGTTGAAATTTTGAAGATACACAGAGCTTATCTAGGACTAGATTACCCAATTCAGAGTACCCGTGATCGAGGAAAAAAGTTTCTTTGTTACTTTCTGAACCATCTCTGAGCCAATAGAGACAAAATAATTATTCTTGAGAATAGCTCATGCTTTCTGGCTCTAGAATATTGACACTTACAAATTTTAAAAACGACAAAAAAGCAAATTACTTACTCCAAATCATCCATCATGGTATTCAGGGATGGAACTTTTGAGCGGAGATTGAAATAAAACCTGGTAGGGGAATATACTTCTGATATGACGATTTCAATGAACAGTTTGCTACCATCATCTGCAGGGTGAGTATCTTCTCTACATATTTTTTGAGGAGGAATCTTACAACTATTATCACAACATTCAGGCGGGAAAAGCTGTGTCAGGACCAAAGGCTGGAAAAAAATACAATCAGATTTGAAAAAATACACAGAGCCATAGCCACTCTCGTCACCTTCCAGCCAAGATATCAGAAGCACCATTTACGCTTATGCACAAAATTGTCAAACTCTTCAAACTGGTTCAATTCTTTATGAAAAGACTCATAATCAGAACCACTTGAAAATTTTACTCAATAGTAATATTGCCATCAAAATGTAGCCCTCAATTTTTGATGAAAGTACATACAAAAGCTGAAAGAAAAAATTAAAATATTATTGAGATGTCCGGCAACATAGCATTTAAGTGTAAATGGTGCTTGTTTTACTTTGACAGTTGTGTTACTTTGTGATAATCTCTTGATGACAAATCAGAAGACAACATAAAAGGTTCTCTTTTCTTTCAAAAGAGCTGACAATTATTCCTCCTAAATTTTTGCAAGGTCTGATTGTGAGGCAGAAATTTCTGACAGGAGTGAAGAATGTTAAAACCTCACACACTTTTAGGCATCCACTCAGATGCTTTCCAGATTTACCTACCAAAAGTGCTGACAATGAAAATTTCCACTTCTTAAAGAAGGAATGACATCGTTCTTTTTTTTTTTTGCTTTTTAAGTGTTCATGTGTAAGTTTTAACACTTTTAAAGCTTCTTGCCACTCTCCTAAATCGGTACTTGCTTCATAGATTTTGTTATGACCCAGAATCCTGTGTATTCTGCATGAATGTACCTATGTTCTTAGGCGCCAGATTACTTAATGAAAGGGAGTAAAGGATCAAACACACCCTTGATAGGCATGTGTGTTCTAGTGGCTTTGAACTATGAATGAGGAGGAACTTATTTCGTAGGATTCTCATAAGTAATCTCAGTTTTTTGTAGTCTTGAACGAGCTTACAAATGATCATCTATTTCATTGCCACTGCTAAACTTTAGCCAGGTTCCTGTAGCTTTCTTTGAAATGTCTACTAGGGCTAGGCAAATATCCAAAAATCTTGAATATTTGAGTTCGAATTTTTTTTTTTTTGTTATTCAATTCAAACTTGAACTTGAAAACCTTGAATTTTCGAACTTTTTCGAACATATGGTCATAAGTTTGAATATTTGCATAAAAATCGAATATTTTGCAAGTTATTCTATATAAAGTGATGGTGACATTGTAACGTCTTTCCTCTTCACAACATATCAGAATTTGTACAAAAACGTTACCCAAATTAAATATCTGATGAATTCATTTATTCCTGATTCTGTAATCTTCAAAAATGATAGTGAATACAAGATTTTCTTTTTAAATTTAATTATTTTTCAGGATTCTGTCGATGAACTATACTAAAAAGTTTGCACCAAAAAAACACTTTCAGTGCCCAAATTTAAATAAAATGTATTGAACCACAAGATAAAATGTAAAGAGAAATTTTTTATTATATTAATTAAAACAACATCAAAAATGTTTGCTTTGAGTTAATTGACAAAGAGGTGTTTCTGATGAGAAAAAGGTAAAAATATTCGAATCGATGGTCAAACTTCTTTTTTTTTTATTCGATTCCATCCGAGGCCAGAAAACCATATTCCCCCAGCCCTAATTTTTAGCTACACGTACAAAGAAAAAGAAGAAAAATAAATGGAACAGAACGGAAAGGAATAGACTAGGGAAAAGTTCAGGGATTCCCCAAGTTCAAGCACTTAACTGCAGTTATTCCTGGAACTTCTAAAGTTTCTCTGTTCCTCCCGACAATTTGCTTTGAGTAACCGATCAACTATTGATCAGTCTATATTGTTATCAAATACAAAAAGTAGAACTTCAAACAGAAGCAGTAATCATAACATGGCTAACTTTCATAAGCTCCTTCGATTATATAAATATTTATAATTCTTTTAAATAAATGATTACCTAAATACAAAGAGTGTTTCAGTGAAAAAGCATGCATAACTGTTGAAATTCTGCACAAAATGGAAAAAATGCAATTTCTATGATGAGAAAAAAAGTAGGTAAGCATTTAAGGCTAAAGTACTTCTATTTAAGATTTTTTGAAATTTAGCTGATGCCATGCTCAAAAAAAAAAAAAAAAAAAAAAAAAAAAAAAAAAAAAAAAAGATAAAAATTGTAAAAACATTCATAAGATATGACACAGGTTGAACTTACAATATGGAAATGATCAGGTTCAGGAGAATCACTATCTGAGTCCTGACTCAAAGTCCTCGAGTAAGCGCGCAGGTTCTTACCAACAGGTCGGAGATAACATAGATCACTTAAAGCAGTAAGGAAGGAGTTAGCACTATCAAATCCAAGAGAGCTCAGATTCAGTTCGGTTCTATACTTTTTCTGTGGAGAGAAAGGAGAATTTTAGAATTGAGTCACACCTAACTTTATAATTCATATTTTCAGAAACTGATGATTTGATGGATGTTAGACGATGAACTATTAAAAAATCTTAAGTGACAACTTTTAAAAAATTAAAAAACTAGGAAGAGGTGATTAAGGCTGCAACTGCTTATGGGATAAAACTTAAATCAAATGCAACATTTAATAAGCTAAGGTTAAACCTGGATGACCCTGCATATGGACTAACCAGTTTGAATTTTACTTTAATTCTATCATGAAAAAGAGTTTAACGTTTTTTCATTGTTCAATTCTTCCCTTCATGTAACATTTCCTTCACAGTCTTCATATTCATTTTCGTTCCTAGACCAAAATTTTTAAAAACTCAAATGGGTTGAAAAGGTTCTTCACTACCCTTCAAATTGCTTATATGATGCACACATACATCTCCCAAAACTTAACGCTAGGCTTAACCCTCTTCTTTTCATTTTCATTAAATTTTCTTTTACATTTTCATCAATGGGTTGCCAAATGTAGCCTAAATAGAGCCACAAATTTCAAGAACAGGATTGATCTTAAAATATAATTTAAAACTCATGAATTTCAAATGATTAAACAAAGAAACAATTTCATAGAACCGGCATCTGAATCTTTGTTGTCTGTAGATGCCCTCTACAGATAAGAAGTGTGCAAGTGCTCAGAGACATTTTTTGAACGACAAACTTTAATGTGAAAATTGAAAGAAGGCTTACCTGATAACACTCCTCCAATTCAGAGCTTAATAATCCACTCGACTTTCTACTCCGAAGAAGTTGTTTCATGTTTTCGTGGATATCTGGTGGAACTTTTTGGTTCTTCCCTGTAATAATAATAATTAGGTAGGATAATATTTTATAAAACACAAAAAGTTTCACAAAAAAAATTTGAAAAATTTGAGAGAGAAGATTCTGGGATGCACAGTCTCGACAAGCTAGCGAACAGCTGACGCGGCTGTCAGGTGCTGCTAGCAGCGGACGCTGAGAGTACTACACTAACTTGTTTACTGAGAACTCGCCATTTTTCCCCCAAAAACCTTGAATTTTGATCGGGAGCCAGGTCTGTTTGTTCGTGTGCAAGAGGCCAGCCTACTGGCTAGCCACCGTACTCTTATTTTAGCAGCTTTTAATGTGAAGTGCTTTGCGAAATTTGTATCAAGTTTTAGCCGTATGCATCGCCTTCCCTTGCTGACTGCTGCTGCCCTAAGCCCTGATTTTTTGCTGTTATTTGTCTCTGTTTGGATCCCCCATTACCTGGTGTAAGTCTGGATTGGTTGTACTAAGTGAAACTAGACCTTTTACTGAAAATCTCATAGTTGAAATGAAACCCGTAACCTGTGATGCTAATATGGCACCTCATGTAAGTCACACATGAATTTTGGATTAAGATTACCAGTTTTCTGTATAATAATGCTACTCTATTACTAGATTAATGAATTGAAGTCTGAGGATCGGGCTCATAACCTTGTCACCTTACTTATGGATTTTGGCCCCCCGCACCTGAGAATTTCCGAAGCGCAAATCTCTCATGAGCATAGACCTCTCCAGAGCGTCATAACTTGCAATTTTCTCTCTTTTAAATGCCTAAGACTCAGGTGATACATAGTTAATGCCACCTTCCTTTTAGTTGGCTGCAATAGTAGTTAAAGCTCTTCCAGTGAAGAAATTTTTAGAATCCTGAGGTTAGACTATGTAAGCCCTCGAAGTGTTCCGCATTGTCTCATTCTCTGTTGTAATCACTTACATTCCTCCTGCAGGGTTTATCTAAATATTGAAGTAATTAACTAAGATCTGGCCCTTTTGATTCTTAATTTTATCTCAGCCCTTTAGCCATAAGCTATTTTAGATATTTCCTTATCACCGCATGGCCTTTAAGCCTAAATTTTGATCTCTGAGTTTGCTAACTAAGCAAGTCTGACTAATCCGTAATTATTTAAGTAGAAATTACCTACGAGATACTTGCAATCCATTTTTGAGATTTTTGCCATGATTTAAGATATTCTGAAATGAGTTTTGTCATTGATATAATGTAGAGCTATTAACTTGTGATAGCTATGACTTCCAAGTAAATTGTAATTAACTTTAAGGGCAGATCTCCTACCTAATGATTACCTTTGCCTGTACATATTTAAAGACAATTTGGAATGTTCCAACAGGGTTCAAGATTCAACTTTTAAGTTTCAAGATTCAAGTTTTGCAGTTTTTGAGATTTAAGTATTCAAGCTTCAAGCTTCAAGTTTTCCAGTTTCGAATATTCAAGTTCCTGTATCAACATATTCTAGACCTCTGTCTCTGTCTGTGTTCCAGATCTCTGTTCAGAACTTTACTTCCTACTTGTAACTATTTTTGAATTTTTTCTGTGATATGTGTTCGGTCATTTGATCTCATTGTTTATTTTGAGAATATATATTCATTTTTATTAACGACCTCTTTCTCTTCTTGTCTCCACGCTTCCTGTAATTTATGCGGTCACAGTTCCTCTGATTTTTCTTACATATTTCTGTAAAATTTCTTGACAATTGAAGATATGCCAATTGGTTAAAAAGACAAAATTTGAAATAGTTTTCAGGCAAAATTTGTTGCTCAAAACGTTACACCCGTTCTAGAAAGCAAATAAAGGAGCCTTCACAATTATTTCCTACACTTTTGTCATTTTCCCTAACACTTCCAGGTATTCCTGGACTTTTTAAAATTCCCTGACATTCCCCGGTTTTCCTGGCGCAATATTCCCTGACTGTGGCAACCCTACAACCTGCTAATCAGCAGACCCTGTGGAAAAATAAAAAATGCAATTCACATCAATATAAAACTGGTTTGTCCCTTGGGAAATAGTGGCAACATTGAAGGAGAACTAACACTTAAAATTACAGGTTGGACAAATTGTAGCTTGCAACGCAAGTTCTAGGACAAGAGAAGAAAGAGTAATAATGAGAAATACATTGAAAATAAAAAGTAATACCTTGGTTTCGAGTCTGTAATTTGTACTGAACAGGAATCTCTTTAGTGGCATCAAATACAATAAAATCATCGTGCTCATCCAAGCGGTAACAAAAAAAAATAGTCGGATGATTGGCGACAAATTCTATCATACTTGAAAAACCTATATCTTGAAAATCAAATGAATAACCAAATTTTTCCTGGAAAAAAAAAACCCATGCATAAAATTTACAACCAAAGATATTACAGTAGATATATTCTTCATGTACGAGTAAGTACCACGCAATTTATTAAGTAAAAACAAAGAGACCCCATGAAAACATTTTTTGCCCCTATTTCGATACTGGTTGATGAAAAGTCCTCAAATGAAAGCTTCATCAAAGCTTTGCAAACATCAAAGTAAAACAGCTGAAGGCATTATTTTGTGTATAGATCATGAAGTGCTGTCGAATTCTCTTTTTTCAAATGCTTAAATATTCTAATCCTTGACTTTTGTATTAAAGTAGCTCCATTTCATGGAATATATACTTCTTGATGAAAGAAAAAAAAATTAAATAAGAAATAAAGAGTAGCAGGAGTAAATAGAATTTACTTGGCTCCAAATCATCTTTTGGCTAATAAATAAATATAAAAAAATAAATCATTAATAAAAAAAAAAAAAAAAAAAAAAAAAAAAAAAAAAAAAAAAAAAATTGATGACACAGCTAAGAAAATGTCATTAGGCTCTAATCTCTGCATAGAGAGAAGAAAAGCCCATAAAACTATGTATTTTGAGCACTGGGTTAGAAACTACCTCTTTTTGGAAAAGTTGAACATAGCCAATTGGTTACATCCCTCAGAAAATTCCACTTTATAATGGACCTACACTATTGCATGGTAGCATGTTTTCAGTCTGAAAGTCAAGGGAGCAGTTAGGAAGAAGCTACGATCGTCTCACCCACACACTTTCATCTCACTTTCTACAAATGGTGGGTTCTTTAGAGGAAACTCGAAGATTCTACCCCTGTGGATGACACTCCACTACCTTAAACAATGGACTCCTCGACAAAGTATGAATTTAGGAGTTCTGAGACAGGTATCCTTATCAAAATTTCACGTAGAACACAAAACAAGCAACATAAATTACTGAAATGAACTTCTAACCGAGATGTTTGTCGTTGTTTGATATGGAATTCAATCCTTCTACTCATGAAAAAACAAAAGCCTGCAAGAGTCAAATGGCGCAATAAAGGTTACTGTGATAGTCTCTGCAGTTTGACGACCTCAATTTTGGCGCTTTGAGTTAGCTATTGTACGCTGTTAACACTTTTAACAACACAAGGCAAGGAAGGAACATTGCTTGATTAAGGACCCCTACCAAAACCGTGTTAGTGCACAATTTGATTCAAGTAGACCACTGTTTTTCATATGAGCAGGTAATTCGAAATTTCCGTGACTAAGGTACGTAAACTAAAAATGTTAATATGTAAGTATAGAGTTAATTTAGTAATATACATTGGGCAAATTGTGTTCTGCGTGAGATTTTGGTCAGAAAATATGTATCAGAATGCTTAAGTTTGCACCTTGTCTATTGGTCCATTAGCAGTTTAAAGATTCCCTCCAAATCAAAAAAGAGAGAACAAGATGGACTTGTTTCAGGTTTCATAGACTTCAACTTACCGATTGTAACGTCTGAAAAATTATAGGCTTGAATTAAGTAAGGTATATCTCAGTGACTTACTTTATAGAGATTTCCCAGACTAGTTAGGTTAATTCCATATGGATGATCATCGAGTAAACTTTGGAAATTGTGCCTCATTCTATTGCCCATTTTTTCATTTGCAGCATCATAACAGCCTGAGTCAGATCCACAACTGTCAGCACTAATTTGGGATTTGCAATTCTGGAGGTTGATATGGTTTTTCGGACCGTTACTAGAACTTGAGGTTGATGGAACTTTTGAACATGCCACATCTCCGTTGAACTGACCGCTAAAATAAAAGTAAAAATTGAAAAAAATAAATTATCAACAAAATAAAGCTTTAACTTGTCGGTTATCATTCTTTAGAAGCTGCTCTGAACTTTAAAGGCTGTCCTCACATTTTCTCTCTTTTCAATTTCTCACCTCCTTCATCATCTTTTATCAGTGTTTCTAAACGGTTTTTCAAGATGTTCCATTTCTAACACAATTCAATGGAATTATTTTGAAAATTCTCACTATTGAGTAAAATAAAGGTAGCACATGAAGTATTCAAGCTTACTAATAAAAAATAATAGAATATTATTGGGGGCTGAAATAAATATAATTTTGAAAACGAATAGATTGAGTGCTCTGCCTTCCTCCTAAAGTTATAGGGGCCACCTTGATCTGAGAGCCCAATTTTGAGGAGCCACCTACAAGTTTTCTAGAGCCACATTGTATGATTGTATCACGCGCATAATGGCACATGAAATTTGCTGTCAGGCCGCCAAGGGTGCGTTAAAAGCGCTACATTCTTGATCCAGCATTTAAAAGAATCGATGGGGTATGCCAAATTTCTTGAATGCAGCAACCGCCCCAATTTCCCAACTTCCATAGCCCAATTTTTAAGCTTATTTGGCACATGGCGAAGGTAGAAAACTGATGTACAGCAAAGATATTCCAGACAAAGAGAGAAGGAAACAGAAGCATGCTCACGTGTCTTGGTCTTCGTCTGAACAGAATTCGAACTCCTCATCGTCGTCCTCAAAAGCTTCATCCTCATAGCCTCCTGGGACAGGAGACGGCTGCTTGGTGCTGCTGGTTGATTGACCTAAAAATAAAGCTGAGAATATAGCAAACTTTGCATACAGTTAACGAATTTTGGAGCATACGTGAACCATTCTTTCCAATAACCAATCGACGAAAATAAACACCAACAGTTAAACAAAGGCTGAAAATGATACTATACACCTATTTTCAAAATTTAGTGACTCAAAAAGGAGAACAATGTAGGAAGCATTCCGTTCTTAAACATAGTAGTTGCTAAAATTTCTTAGTCCGTCCAGTTTTCTGTCATCCCCTATTGCCTTAGCGCAGTTAGGAGATTAAACATTTCGGATTGAAAAATAATTCAAATATCTGACCAAAGACCAGAGCATACTTAATTCAAACTGGTGCATGAATTTGAAACGTAATTTTGTTTAACAACCGGATCAGATGCAGAGTACATTAAAACCCAGACAAACTGACTTTTTCCTGGAAATAACGGAGTTCAAAGGAATCTTTCAGGGTGAAAAATTCGTAATTTAAAAAAAAAAAAAAGAGAGAGAGAGAGAAGAAAAGAAAGACTTACTAGAACCATTACTGGCTTGTTTCATGTAGTATAATCCATTTCTTTGTACGATTATATCTGAACAGGATTTCAACAGATCTGGTACAGTCTTGATTCCACACTCTCTAAAACTCCTCGTCAACAAGTAATTGTAAAAGTCATCTTCTCTGACACCCTAAAAATATGAACAAAGTAAAAAATGAAACAGAGCATTGTGATTTGCAGATTTTTGGCGGAAAGTTACTTGGCTTTACTCTCCTTTACATTATTCAGTAAATGTATTAGAGCCTTATAAATAGTACTCGTCTCTGTTTTGTTGCTTTCCTATTCGCTGGAAATCCTGGCATTCAAAGTCTTTCCAAGATCATGGCTATGTCTTATCCTTGAGCCCCTGCCAAATAACTTTACGCACTTTTAGATTGCAACAGATTATCCGGCACTGTAAATTGGGCATTTGCTGTCAATACCACACTGACATCACTCGATCTTCTGTCGCAGTCTTAAAGTGCATTACTTATTTGGAATGGACTCAGACGGTAACCTTTTTTTTACCCGACACTCTGAAATGCAAAAAGATATACAATTGACAGTAGTGAGACAATTTGTTGAAATAACATGACACAGGGTGTCCACTGTGAGAGTGGAGTGTTTCCTAAAAAGCAATTCTGAAAGACAGGTGATCTGAATTGGAATGAGTGACTGCTACTAATTCAATGAGTGCAATGCAAAACTTCAACGACATTAAACCCAAACAAACTGAGGTGAACTGACTGACCGTCTAATCTCTTTGCGGTGAGTGCGTTATCTCCTGATAAGAAGATCTTTATAGTGCGAATCTATCTGTTTCTTGAGTTTGTTTACGTTCAACGTCCTTGAATTTTTGCGTCTCACCCTCTGCATCACTGATTGAACAGAAGAGGAAGAAACCAGGGGTGTCACTGCCGCGGTGAATGACGTAAAAAGTCTGAATTTTCAAAGGGCAATATCTCAGTTAATATTGATCGTAGAAAGTTGCGGTTAGGACAGATATTATTATTTTCAGCTAATCTACAAGAATCAAGCATCAAAAGACGATTCTATGACCAGCGCAATTGACCTATTTTGTTGCTGTCATTTTAAGCTGCAACCATTTTAACATTTTAATCTTGGTCTATTTTATTTTAAGTAGAAATAATGTTTACATTTGGAGATTTCTCAGAAACTTTGCACATTTCTTAACCAATTGAATTTTTTGACTCTTGTGTTGTTTGAACTTCTTCTACTGTCAGAATTACTGATAATTTGGGGGCTTGTAATAGAATCAAAGAAAAAAAGAATAAAAAATATTGATAAGAAAGGAGGGGTATCAATGGCGACAAAAATTGACCTACTCCGAGATCCTAAGATTTTTCCACATTTTGAGGTTGATGACATATATTTTACAGGAAGATTTCTCATTTCCTGGCTTCAAAATAGGGTCCCATACTTGGGTCGAAAGACTAAAATCCACAGAAAATGGCATTTTTCAGTGATCCACATCAATTTGATGCTGGGCCCAAAAGTGATGGTGACGATCTTTGCGTATTATAGGTCTGAAGTCGTCTCAAACAACGTACCTAAAGCTCACTAACTAAGTTCTCAGGGCCAAGCGTGGAATCTGATGTGGAACTTGAAAAAAACAGGAAGTATTGGGGATTTTGCCCCAATTTAAGGCCCTCATTACAAAGCTAAAAACTGGGCATATCATCGGAACCCAGATGCTTCTATAAAATGTACACTGCAACTAAAAAATATTGAGAAATCATTGACATACTCCCATGGCGCTTGAACCTGGATGCTGGCTCAGCAAAAAAATTCTAAAATACGCATAATTTTCAAAGTAGCTAAACAATTATTTTAAATCTAGTCAAAGGGGATGGTTGACCATTCCCACATATTTTACATCTCGAAAGGGTCCAAAATAACAAATCTAAAGCTCATTAACCAAGTCCTTTGAGCTTGACATGAAATCTAATGAAGAACGCTGTATAAGTGTGAATTTTCGTGGGTTTTATCTTTTAGAACCAACTTGGGGCCTTGATTTTGAAGCCAAAAAAGTGGGTATCACCGAGACGTGAATTTTTCTGTAAAATATAACTTGTCAACTGCAAAATAGCAAGTAATCTCATAATCTCGGAAGTAGGCCGATTTGTTGGTCCTCATCGTTACACCAATTTAAACTGCTGAGAAATATACCTGTTGTCTTGTTTTCATAAATTCAACGACTTTTTCTTTGAGAAAAGAAGGAGCCGAGAAAGAGTTCCTGGTAGAACTTGAGAAGGACTCCGATTTTCCTGTGGAATTTAAGGATGAAGATTGACAAGTAGATCCTTTTGAAAAAGCTCTCTCTTCAGGGAGAGGTCTCCCAGCAGGCTGAGGCCTTTGACCTGACTGATATGAAGAAGTTAGAGGACCAGAATTTCCTGATGAATAAGTAGAACGCACTGTTGAGCTGGAATACGCCTTGTTTGATGAGTAAACTGAAGAAGAGGGTGCTGCAGCTGGTCGACTGTATGCACTGGAACTGGAGTAGGATGATGGCCGGTAAGAACTTGACTGATAATTGGAGGAAGATGAAAACGGCTTTGAATCAAATCTTGGAGGACGAGTAGATAATCGAGGGGGCCTAGCTCGAGGAGGCCCTCCGATTCTCCTTGACATCGAGGGTCTTTTCGATCTAATTCTTGGTTGTTTACTTTTTTGTTTCATGACTAGTTCATCGATGTGTTTCGACTTCTCAGAGAGAACTGGCACAAGAACTTGGACACCTCCCTGATACTGAACCTGCATTGACAAAAAGAAGAGATAAAGTTAAATTCCAGTTTTGATTTTATGCAAGACCAGTCTGTCTTTAACTGTATTTAATAAAAGCTTTTTTTAGCTTGAAAAAGATCTCTTTCATGAAAATTGGATTTTCCGGAGGAATTGGGAAATAGCCATGGTCTTTTTTTAGCTCCCGCGCTATAAATTAGGTGAGAACAACCTTGTGCGACACCTGAGAATTTTGTTATTTTACGTTCTTTCTGACGCAAAACAATCGAATAAGCTTTGCATGGTGGTATATGGGCGGAAAAGGGTATTGGACCAGAAAAACTTCTAAATTAGGGACAGAGTGGAGTTTATGATAGGCATACAATGTATGGTTTTATGTGTATTTTAAGCTGCTAAATCTAACATGCATTTTTTTTCTTTTTCTTTTGTAAACATGCACAGATTTTTTGGAAAACTAGGGTAGCTTGACCTCAGGGAAAAATTTTGACTTTTCCAGGAAAAACAAACCAATCCAAATTAATTTTCAGAATCAGCATTAAAAATCCATTCAGAACCAGCTATGAATTTTCTGGCAAACCGACCCAGGTTGACCAGTTGACCTTCGTAATGTTGATAAAGTTTTGCAAGTTGGCCAAAAAAATATGAAGATGTTATCCAGCTTCAAAACAACAGCAAGATTACTTCCATAAATTCAATTTAGTGTCACGGAAGTTACAACCAGATTTTGTGTCATTAATTTTATTTTTTTTTCCTTTGCAAAAAAAGTGTTTTTTCTGCTGAACAAGCTGTGCTCAAGAGCATGACTGACATCTAACTGTTCCTCTTTATTTGGTAATGTATGTTTTTATGTTAATAAATAAATAAAATGGCTCGCTGGCTTTTGCTCTATAATTTTCTGTGCTACTAGAATACAAACCTTGACTGCATCTGACATATCTTGGCTTTGCAGACATTGTAAAAAATCAGAGAAGCCAAGTTTCTGGTACGGAAAGTCATATCCTTCTATCTCTTTAAAATCTCTGAGTAGTTCACGAGGAGTGAGCGGTTTTTGTGATGAAGTTAATATGGATTTAACTGTGATTTTAAGATCTGACAGCCCCATCTTGAGAGTTTCTGAAACACAGAGAAAATTTAATAAGCGCAAACTGAGAATTGAGTTTAGTTTACCGTTACTGTGTCCACCCAAATTCAGAGGGGTGAAAAAAATACTCATAGTATCTCCTGATCTGCAAGAGACTGGAGGCAAATTTTAGACCCGGAGGCAAATTTTGGACCCGGAGACATTACTCTGTGTGATTACCTTTTTTCTACTCAGTACTTTGAAGAAGTGGAGCTAATTGGAAATTTAGCCATGAGGCATAAATGCTACATCACAGGAGACAAGCAGTCCGCATTTTGGAAATTATTGATCCCCTGAATTAGCATTTGATGATCATGTTATAAACAACGCCATTGACTACAACAAGCTTGCAGAGGGCACCAACCTTCAGGGCTACTCACAGAGATGCAGGTTTTTCAATCACAAAATGACAACTTGTTAAAAGAAGATTAAATGAATTGAATGAAACCACCAATGTTACATACTTGAAGATGTAAATTGCATTATGTAATTTGCCATTTACTTACCAATGTTGAAACCAAAACATGACAGGTTCTTTTACCTTGATATTCTTGTAATAATATATGAGCAGATGAAATGCAGAATTTTTTCACACTTCATAAAAATGAAACGCTCGTGACTGAAATTTGACAATTTTCATGGAATTGCCCATTCAGATCAGATACTTATAATAAGACAGTATTTTCCACCAAAATAAACTTGAAAGATGGTCAGAACTAGGCTCCGAAGGGTAGTCAAGAGGATGAAGCCACTTCAATGCACACAGGCTTAGAGTTCTTGCCAAATATTAAATGCAGGCATTGTTCATGCATCGCTGCCTGCTGGTACACCTGGCAGCCTGTCTGTGAAGCACAAGCCATAGCAAAGCACCATTTTTTATGGTCATTCATGAATATAACTCTGTTTCCAAAATAGCGTTTGCTCTGCTCCTTTACCCTTACGTACCGAGTTCCCTGGCTTCTTGGATCATAACAACACACTTTAGGAGTGTCACTTAAGACCCGCTACCTTCATTCTTGCACTTATTTTCAATTCTAAGCTGAAGGTAGCGGATCTTCTGACACACTCAAACAGTACGTAAACTTGTCTGGCGTGGAATCAAAACACATTCAGATATGCCTCCCCTCTGTCTTGTCAAATTTCAAGAGGAAGATAAGAATCTGCGTGAAACAGAGAAATTAGTCCCGAGACACTTGACTTGATGAGGCAGAGATGTAAGATAGACGTAGAGTGATTATGCCTGTTGTTTCCTGATATTCTGACAGCGGCTGGTGCATTCAGGCGGAAGAGTCCACACAGAACAAGTTTACTTAGGCGCTTTTGGAGTGCGACAGAAGATCAGCTATTTTCAGTTTGGCTTTAAAAGTGAATACAAGAACCAAGATGGTGGATCATCTGTCACACTTTAAAAGAGTGTGAACTTGACTTGGAGTCTAGTTAGACCTCACCACAACTTGACCAAGAACGACATTCAAATTGTGCCACTTTGGCGCAAATTTAAGCGCACAAGCCTGTTTGATGTGATTGAAATAAAATTATTTCAGTGTAGCCAGAAGTATCAAACTCAAGAAATGGAATAAGTACATGAGGTGAGACTTTTCTTCGAGGACAAATGGTAAAACTTGTTGAAAGGATTGAAAGATGAGATGCAATGGCCTTTTTCAAGCTATCTCTGTGGGACAAACGAAACCTTGCCCCACATTAAACAAAACGAAAGGCAAAATGAAGGAAACTGATGAAGTTGGGAGGAAAATTACAGGTGTGCTTTACTTTACCTTGATAATTTCAATGTTTTATCTACAGCATAGCTTTCCCTCGATTTCTTTTCCGCTGATCTTACACTTGCACGTGAATAGAAAATTTCGGGTAAACACTTCACAACAACCAACAGATTACTGAAGTTTGAGGTTAGGTTAGGTACCCACGCGTTTCCTCAGGGCCTTTCGAAGTTCAATTCAAAGATTCAAAGTAGAGTCCCTTTATATCCAAAGTAATGTAATTAAAGAAGTAAGAAACTCTAGGATTAAAAGTAATTATTGACAGACTATTGTGAAGACATCTTCACGTAACAGCTCATAATGAAATCCATTAAACAGGTAATGCAATGTCTTCTTAAATATACTCAATTCTCATGAGATCATTGGCTTGATAGAGGCAAAACATGTATTCATTGTTCATTTTGCTGAGGTCCTTTCATTTTGATTTGTCACTTTCATATTTCGATTGATTGCTATCAAGTGATTGCTATGTTATCATGATCTGATATGAGAGTTGTCCGTCATCCAATGCTCTCCCATCAAAAACCGACTCTGGAGACCACTACAACGGAAAAGATCCGAAGGGTTTCATGTCTCTTATTTGGTTTTGGGATTCTCAGGAGGTCCTCTTCTCCTGTTGTGAGTAGGTGTTATTGCCTGTCAGCAATTAAGGAACAAGCTATGGCAACTAGTGCCAGGAAAAGTTTTCAGCCCCTGTTAGTTGCGAGCAACTGATAAGGCGATGTACTTACCTGTGAGCGTTAAGTCAATTTTTACAAAAGGACAATTTTTAGAAGAAATCAAAGAGTTTATCTTGTCCTGAAAGACCATAAAGATCCCCACACCATCCTTATGGGAAATCACCCCTTGTAAAACCTGATAAAACTTCGATATGTTGCTCATAGTCACTCTGATCAAAAGCTCTCACGAGCCCAAAGATCCCATGTGAGGTTTTCGAGATATTCGCTGTTCCATATGCGTGAACGGAGGTCCCACCGGCTGGACCATTGTGCGGCACTACCCGTACCCTTCCCTTCCAGTCCACTCCGGCCCCTCTCCGCTTTTCCGCCACCCATACCCGAGGCTCGGACTCCGACGCTCATGAGGCTTCGCTCATTGGCACCGGCCTGGATGGTCTGCTCTGAGTGGTGATAAGACCACCTGGGCCAATGCTGATGAGCAAAGCCTCATGAGCGTCGGAGTCCGAGCCTCGGGTATGGGTGGCGGAAAAGCGGAGAGGGGCCGGAGTGGACTGGAAGGGAAGGGTACGAGTAGTGCTGCACAATGGTCCGGCCGGCGGGACCTCCATTCACGCATATAAAACGGCGAATATCTCGAAAACTGCACATGGGATCTCTTTTGGGCCCGTGAGAGCTTTTGATCAGAATGACTAGCTGAGCAACATATCAAAGTTTCATCAGGTTTTATTGGGGGGAATATACCATAAGGATGGTGCGGGGTTCCTTAATGAGACGTCTTTCGGAGAGACTTTCAATCCTAGTTGAGGGGCCTGGAGGACAGGCGCAAAGTGCAGTTTTTTTAAAAAATTGATATATTCATGACCTCAACCAATACTAGTTTGAGAGTATATTTTGTGAAAACCTTGCAACTAAAACTAACCAAGTTTAAACTTCCTTTCTGCTATAAGGCTCCATGGAATTATGAAACTTCGAACACGCATTTCTTGAAATAACAAAAACTGTACTGATGCGCCTTGTCCTCCAAGTCCCTAAGTTGTGGCATCTTTGCAATAGCCCAATTCACAGCCAAGGATAAGAGGTAAGGTTTATTCATGGGAGTTAAAATTGAATTTTGTTTTAATTGGAGCAGTCAAGTCACAGCAAGTCTTTTTTCTTATCCTGAGGAACATATGTTTGTGTCTGGATAATCTTTGGCCCCTGGGATAAGAAAATATTTTCTGAATTTTGGTATGATGACCCAGCCTCCTTCCGTTGATTTTGTGGGACTTCTTTTTTTCGCAAAGCACGGGTTGGTCTTCGTGGTATCCATCGCCATCTATTCTAAAATTTTAACAAAAAATTACATAACTTATAACAATGAATTGAAGGAATTAGTCAACATTTCTTTTGAGTTCGCATTTGAAAGGGAAGGAGAAAAGGCTTCTTCAATTACGATTACCCAGTTTATTGTCAAATCTGACACCCTTTAATCTGCTCTACCCCTTAAAATCAAATTTCAGATGTTAAGAAGGTTTAACATTTTAGAGATATCTCATAAATTGTCTTTCCACTAGGATTCATATAAAGTTACTTCACATCCATTTCTATTCTTAATGTTTCTTTTGAGTTGCATTGAAAATGGTTGTATTTTTAAACTGTCAATTCTGAATTAAAGTTATTGGCAACAAATCTTGAATCAAGTTACCCCTTTTTTGGTCCTTAAAAATCTACCAAGATTTTTGACCTTAAGGCATAATATTATTTACTAGTTCAACAGTGACATGCCGTTGCATCCCACTGCCTGCCAAACAAATTAATATCAATGAACCACTGCGATCAAAGAAAAATGGTATGATGAACAGGACTCACAATCAGTCATCTTGATAAAGCCTTCGACGATAAATTTTGGTAACAAATTATGGTAGGGATTTCCTAGGATTTAATCGCAATGCAATTGAAAAATGAATACTTCACTCATTTGAGACTTATGACCATCCGGCATCTTGATAATGTTAAGACAAAACTGTTTTCCAGAAGTTGTAATATCTTTTCGACAACAGCTTTCCAGTTAACATAATTAACTCCCATCATTAAACTTTATTTTTGCTTTAATGCTTTAACTCCTGCACAGGAATCCCAAAAATGAAAAGCTCTTCTTCTTTTTGCAGATTGCACATGAACCCTAGACCTATGATGTAATATGCGCCATTATTCTCTAATAACTCTTAAGTTTTATTGCAGTTTGGCGAAGAGGACAACACATATTTGTGACACACACTGCTCTTGAGCTTTACATTGTATCATGATCTAACTATGATCCTTTAATGTATCCAAATAACATGGAGATGCACTTTCACTGCGTTGCTGCTAACACAAGCCCTTGCATTCATTGGGAACGAGGCTTAACTTGTACCTCTAAAATCAATGACTTTGGAAAAGAATCTTTCAGATCTTGGCATGAATGAAGTTTCAATACTTTATTTTCAAGACATTTTCTGATTGGTCACCTGGTAGCAAGTGTTGCAATAATTTGTCTCTCGCATTATGGGTGCATGACAATGACGGCATGTGCCAAAATCGCTCCGTTCATTTTCAATTCTGTGCACCTGGAAATCCGAAGAATCTGAATCTTTTTCATCATCGCCCCAAAACTGTTGGTCCAGATCATTCCACAACCCAAAGACGCTCTGATAATCACCTCTTGAAATTTTCTACAAAAAGAAGCTCATTATTAGTAACACATACCTATATTGTAGTGTTGTCAAAACCTCTCTTCCCCCAATTTTTTTGATCATTGTTAGACTCACTACATCGTCAGAACTGGGATTAAAATGTTGCAATAGTCCGAGAGCCAGACGACTTTGAGTGACAAACTCGGGATACATGTTTTGACCCCCTAAATCGATAGCCTTGCATGCACTGAAACGGAAAATTTTTGTCTGCCGCCCTCTAGCCTGTGCCATCACCCTCATCTAGGCCCTCAAAGTGGTCCAAAAAACACCATCTGGTGACAAACTCCTGACGCTCGGCAGACAAGTCTATTATTAAAGATCATACCCAGGGTGACTAGAAAAACTTTGTCTGCCGCCTTCTAGCCTGTGCCATCACCCTCATCTAGGCCCTCAAAGTGGTCCAAAAAACACCATCTGGTGACAAACTCCTGACGCCCAGCGCGGTTGCAGATGTACTCCTGTGAGCAGCTTGTGTAATAAAGTTTGAATGATACATCATTCTCTTCGTTTTTTCGTGTAGAATCCGATTTTCGATGTTGTCAAGTCCAAAAATGATGCTGGTGCCCCCAATTCAAGATGGCGCCCAAAATGGCCGCCCCGGGGGTCAAAATTCCAAAATTTGAGAATATTGTCGAGTTTGGTATCCATTTATATGTAATTTTGGTCGTAGAATTCATATCTGGTGTCAAAAAATAATTTCAACCCCTTAGGGTCCGTCAAATCCAAGATGGCGGCCAAAATTTCAACTTTAATGATAATTACCCAAGATGCACCTTTCACTGTCGAATGACGTGTCTTCATTTATGTTAATTAGGTCAGAAAACCTACAAGGGAGGTCTACAATGCCACTGCACCCTATGGAGGGCCAGGGTTCACCCCCTCCTACCCCCAATATGGCCGCCGCGGAGGGCATAAATAGTGACATTCTCTCAGAACGTCATAGTAGGTGTCCATTCCTATGTAATTTGAGGCGTAAATTCCAAATTTCAAGTCATAAATCGCAAATGTGAGACTTGCAATGGCTTATACCCTATATGGGGCCAGGGGAACCCCCTCAACCCCCTCTTCTTTCTAATATGGCTGCCATGGGGGGCATAAATAGTGAAATTCTCTCAGGACGTCATGTGAGGTGTCGATTCTTATGTAAGTAGAGGCTTATATTCCGAATTCCAAGTTGAAAATCGCAAATTAGAGGTCTGGAATGCCATTTCACCCTACGCGGGGCCAGGAGCAGCCCCCTACCCTCTTCAAAACGGTCGCCGGGGGGGGCATAGTTGCAGTGAAATTCTCTCAAAGCGGCATGTGAGGTGTCGATTCTAATGTAAGTTGAGGCCATTTCACCCTACGCGGGGCCAGGAGCAGCCCCGTACCCTCTTCAAAACGGCCGCCGGGGGGACATAGTTGCAGTGAAATTCTCTCAAAGCGGCATGTGAGGTGTCGATTCTCATGTAAGTTGAGGCGTAGATTCCGAATTTTAAGTCAGAAATCGTCAATATCTCAAAGTGACAAAAACACTTAAGCATGGCAATCGCTCTGGCCTTCATCTTGGAATAAAGAATGCATCTTGGGTTGGGTTCAGTTATGTCGAAAGAGCTGGAAATGAATCGGATAATTTAATGGTGATTGACATATTTCACCGGTGTTCTTTTTCAAATGTACACAGAGGATTCATATTGGTTTCTGGTTCTTTCATTATTAGATAACTGGATAATAGATGGTTCTTTTTGTAATCGATTTTCTTCTAGCAGGAGCGTGCGTTTTGTTGCAGATAACGCAGGAAACTGTAGGTGTCGCTTCTACTAGGAGACGAAACCCTGCGCTACAAAAAGCACTCAATTATCCAGTTGTTTTAATTGCAATTAAACTGAGTGCGTTCATAAACAATAACATAGGAACTCTGAATGCAGATACATACTTCGTCGGCAAAAAAATTATATTTTTGTGGGAATTTTTAAAAATGAAAAAAACAGACGCCCATCTGAGTCCTTTGCGTACATAGAAAAAGAATACGCGTGAAATTTGTCAATTACCATTAAAATCACCAATTCATTTCCAGCTCTTTCGACAAAAATGAACCCAAGCAGCATTTTTAGTCCAAAATGTAGGCCAAAGCGGTTGCCATATATAAGTATTTTCGTCACTATGGGATATTTACATGTTTTGACTTGTGATTCGAAATCCACGCCTCAGATTAAAAACAAATCGACACCTACTATGCCGCTTTGAGAGAATTTCACTGTTCCTATGTGGGCGAATATTGGAATAGCGGACATTTCAGGGTGAAAAAAGTCGATAAATCAAGTTCATAATTTCCCTTGGAAGTTATGTGTTTTCTTAATTCTGGACGATTTCTGGGATCTGAAAACGTATATGGTCCCAATGTTATGAATCGACACCTCACATGACGTCCTGAGAGAATTTCACTATTTATGCCCCCCATGGCAGCCATATTAGAAAGAAGAGGGGGTTGAGGGGGTTCCCCTGGCCCCATATAGGGTATAAGCCATTGCAAGTCTCACATTTGCGATTTATGACTTGAAATTTGGAATTTACGCCTCAAATTACATAGGAATGGACACCTACTATGACGTTCTGAGAGAATGTCACTATTTATGCCCTCCGCGGCGGCCATATTGGGGGTAGGAGGGGGTGAACCCTGGCCCTCCATAGGGTGCAGTGGCATTGTAGACCTCCCTTGTAGGTTTTCTGACCTAATTAACATAAATGAAGACACGTCATTCGACAGTGAAAGGTGCATCTTGGGTAATTATCATTAAAGTTGAAATTTTGGCCGCCATCTTGGATTTGACGGACCCTAAGGGGTTGAAATTATTTTTTGACACCAGATATGAATTCTACGACCAAAATTACATATAAATGGATACCAAACTCGACAATATTCTCAAATTTTGGAATTTTGACCCCCGGGGCGGCCATTTTGGGCGCCATCTTGAATTGGGGGCACCAGCATCATTTTTGGACTTGACAACATCGAAAATCGGATTCTACACGAAAAAACGAAGAGAATGATGTATCATTCAAACTTTATTACACAAGCTGCTCACAGGAGTACATCTGCAACCGCACTAGGCGTCAGGAGTTTGTCACCAGATGGTGTTTTTTGGACCACTTTGAGGGCCTAGATGAGGGTGATGGCACAGGCTAGAAGGCGGCAGACAAAGTTTTTCTAGTCACCCTGGGTATGATCTTTAATAATAGACTTGTCTGCCGAGCGTCAGGAGTTTGTCACCAGATGGTGTTTTTTGGACCACTTTGAGGGCCTAGATGAGGGTGATGGCACAGGCTAGAAGGCGGCAGACAAAGTTTTTCTAGTCACCCTGGGTATGATCTTTAATAATAGACTTGTCTGCCGAGCGTCAGGAGTTTGTCACCAGATGGTGTTTTTTGGACCACTTTGAGGGCCTAGATGAGGGTGATGGCACAGGCTAGAAGGCGGCAGACAAAGTTTTTCTAGTCACCCTGGGTATGATCTTTAATAATAGACTTGTCTGCCGAGCGTCAGGAGTTTGTCACCAGATGGTGTTTTTTGGACCACTTTGAGGGCCTAGATGAGGGTGATGGCACAGGCTAGAAGGCGGCAGACAAAGTTTTTCTAGTCACCCTGGGTATGATCTTTAATAATAGACTTGTCTGCCGAGCGTCAGGAGTTTGTCACCAGATGGTGTTTTTTGGACCACTTTGAGGGCCTAGATGAGGGTGATGGCACAGGCTAGAAGGCGGCAGACAAAGTTTTTCTAGTCACCCTGGGTATGATCTTTAATAATAGACTTGTCTGCCGAGCGTCAGGAGTTTGTCACCAGATGGTGTTTTTTGGACCACTTTGAGGGCCTAGATGAGGGTGATGGCACAGGCTAGAAGGCGGCAGACAAAGTTTTTCTAGTCACCCTGGGTATGATCTTTAATAATAGACTTGTCTGCCGAGCGTCAGGAGTTTGTCACCAGATGGTGTTTTTTGGACCACTTTGAGGGCCTAGATGAGGGTGATGGCACAGGCTAGAAGGCGGCAGACAAAGTTTTTCTAGTCACCCTGGGTATGATCTTTAATAATAGACTTGTCTGCCGAGCGTCAGGAGTTTGTCACCAGATGGTGTTTTTTGGACCACTTTGAGGGCCTAGATGAGGGTGATGGCACAGGCTAGAGGGCGGCAGACAAAAATTTTCCGTTTCAGTGCATGCAAGGCTATCGATTTAGGGGGTCAAAACATGTATCCCGAGTTTGTCACTCAAAGTCGTCTGGCTCTCGGACTACAAGTATTGAAATGTAACAGCATGAAATGAGAAATAATTTAAGGAGAGTGGCACTTCAAAGAAAGTAAGGATATCAATTGGACTGCATTTTGCAATTTGGAACTATAGATTCTGGCCCGGTATTAAAACAACGTATGTGCCATCAGTTTCCCTATGCGCAAAAGTGTTTTTCCAGAAGAGTCAGAATTTATAGTTCCAAATTGCAAAATGCAGTCCAATTAGTGGTCCTTCAATCTTAATTTTGATTTTTTTCTGCGGTTTCTGAGAGAGCTTATCTAACCTGATGTGTCACTTTTACTCTTCAAAAGCTCCATTCATTTTCAAAGAATCGACACATATAAGTTGATTTTTATCGCTCTCGGGTAAAATTGAATTGTATGGAATTTAAATGAGAAAATGTTCCTCATGGTGGTTGAAGTCTCATCCTGTCCAGTGTCCTATCCTATTTTCGGAGGAAAGAGTCAGTCTTTAAACACTCTGAAACTCATGAGAACACTTACTGTCATGACTTATTTATTATTCTTTAATGATTTCTTGGAAATTCAATACCGAATTATCAAGAGATCAAGTGTTAATTATGAATCATCCATATTTTCTTGTTCTCTCGTCTTGTTCATGAATATCAGATAAAATTTCAGACTTTTCTACGATTCAATCATTTCAAATTGTGTTTGGACATGTTACACTCAATTTCAAGTTAGTTTTGTGTTACAATTTTTTTGAAATATTATCTACTCGATTCTTTTCGTTGTTTTTGGACAGCTATTCAACATAAGGATTTTTCCAAGGCATATTAAGACCTTAGATATCTCAGAATTTGGTTCGGACTTTTTCAGAACTTCTATTCAAGCAAGTTTCTACTTGCCAGAAGTAGAAAAATACTACTATCTGGACAGTTTTCAATTAGAAGTATATGCTCTTACAAATATGTTTGAATGAGACATATCTGGTAGACAAAGGCGTAGAAAGTCCCTCGGCAAAAATTTGTCACAATCTCAGCTTTTAAATTTTCCTCAAAAATCTCCTCACTCCGCTAGAAGTTTCGCATTGGGCCAAAAATTTTCCAAAGTCCGCACAACTTTCTGTTTCTATTCTTATTTTTCCCAACAAAGATAAAAAAAAAGTTTTTTTGAAAAAATTTGTCTTATGCTAACAGATTTCCTCACACCCAGTGTATATGCACTCAAGCATTTTCTGCACCCCTGCTTTTCTCCTTCTGAAGAAAGAAAGAAAGAAAAAGTTCCTAAGGTTATCACATAGTTTTTTTAAAATTATATCTTTATATCTACCACTAACCTCCACATCGGACAATGAATCATCAGTCAATGAACCTTGATTAGCATTCTCATTCCCCTCTCTTAGTCCATCCACCCTTGATCCCTTTGCTTTTTTTCTCAGCTGTTTTTCACTGCTACACCCTGTGACAAAAAGAAATCCTGTGTAAAATTTTCTAACTTATACACAGGCCTTTTTTCCTTTGAATATGATGTCATCTCACACTAGCGGAGTTGAAGATATATATGTAGTTTACAGAAGGAAGTATATTAAGAGCTCGTTTAGGAAGTAAAACTTTCTTTACCATTGTGGGTAAGTCCCTAACAAAGTCAATTATGCCCTTTATGCTCACAAGATCGGTAGTTGGTGACCCTATAATCCATTATCTTCTGTTAGTATGCGTTTTTTTCATTCTGTTTGCTCTCTCTGTTATAGACGGTAACTGAATTATTCAGAAAAAACTGAAACCCATAAAAAGTATTCAATGAAATTTTTTTAAGGAGAGAAAAAACTGTTCAAATTAGTTGCTGATTTGATGCTCCTGCATATTGTATTTCTCCAGCAAACTATTTAAAAAGTTTTGAAAATTCAAACAGAACAATTATATACGGATTGAATCCATGAAATATTTTTTGTCTCTCGAGTGTGCTGGAAATGAGTACTTGCTGCATTTAGTGAATATAGGATGGTGATACTCGCAATGAACAAAGGAATGCTGACAATGTTCTCCTAAGATCTAAGAAGAGTCATTATTACACCAGTAATTTCTCCAAGTATTCACCAAATTTTTCCCTCTGGCACTATTCTAAACTTTACAGAGCAACTAGTTTTAATAATAGTAGATGGTAGTACTTAGCATAGTATTATAAGGAAATACAAAATTTGGACAAAGTTATACCCGTCCGGTTGGCGCAAGTTTTCAAATACTAAGATTTTGCAAAGGATGTGCCAAAAACTGCATAAATACAGCGTTAATTTCGCACAAACCTTCTCAAGAATGCACTTTACCCTATTTTGAGGGAGGAATTGCAATCGAGCATATTCATCTCTACCTGATTTTAATTTCACTACAAATTAATAAAAAAAAATGTATTCTTATTTTGTCAATGGCCCTTTTAAATGATAAAAATCTTGGAACAATTTTATCAATGTGCAGAAGTTTAGGTAACAAAATGAAGTGAGATTACGCACAAAATCTGCTTCGTTTTGCTTGGTTTTCCCTCATTGCGCCTCGGCTCATTTCCTGCAAGGAGGAGAATTTTCTCACTTGTGATCATGCATAATATTAGGCAAAGAATAGAGGGCTGGATGGAATGATCTAAGTTCTAGGAATTAGTGGCATTCTGTAATGATTAAGCATATGATGCCGTTTTTTTCTACACAAAACCTCACAGAATACATTCTCTAAAATTTCACAATAATTTTATTTGTCACTAAAATTTTCCTTTTGACTCACTTATTTTTTTTAAAAAAATTTTTCACAAAAATTTAGGTGCAGCCTAACCTAGCAATTTTTTTTTGTTCCTCTACTTTCTTTCTTCTTTCATACTGTGATTAGACCTGTAATTTTAATTCAAAAACTACACAAGTTTGATATCATATGACTGCCTTGACTAATTTTTGCTGTGTTGCCAACACTTTCTCAGTCGTAATATATTTTTATAATGCAAGATTGTGAAACTTTAACTTGTCAGAAGAATATCCTTCCAAATTTCTTTAGATAGGTACCTAAATCCATTTTGGTTTTTTAGATCTGAAAAAGCTGCGCATCAATATTGTTATTCATAGAAGTTTGATCAAGGGCATCTAAATATGTTGCTAGAATGTGTCAAAATTATTTCGCTGTCAAGTCGTAGCTGTATTCTTTTCATCATTGTTCCGAATCTAAATCAGATCAATTGATTATTTATCAGAAAAGCTTTACCATGTATGAGAACCACAATTGGGGGCTCATTTCCTATTCAGGGAAGGCAGATCAGTCTATCTGAAGTTCCAAGTTTCTCAATTCCTCATAATGAATGCTGAATCAAATATAGATTACTTAGTGGTTATTGCACGACATCAAGGAAGAAAAATGACTCAAGTCAGACAGATAGCACATAATTAAAGTTCTCAAGTACATCCATCCTTTTGGATGCTCAGTTTTACCAAATATTGCTCTTATCCATTCCACGGAAAGTTATAAAGGCATTCCCCCTCTTTCAATTGTCCTTTTCCGTGTATGTAAAATCTAGATAAAATTATATTTATTTTTCTGTTTCAGGTCTCTCAGCAGTTACGAACAAAGAAGTATTCAGCAACAGAATTATGCACTTCATCTTTGAAAGAAGTTGCTGCGGCGAAGACCTTAAATGCTTTTGTGAGAATAACTGAGGACTTGGCTAAAACCTCTGCTGCCGTATCAGACAAATACCTCGGTGAAGGTATAATGCTTTAATTAAGTACCATACATTGTCTCGTCAGTCATGAATAAGTAAGCTCATAAGATATAACATAACGGATTCTGACAAGAGAACTCAGAAAAGGCCACTGTCTATTATGACGCAGATTAATACCTGAAAATAATTAAAGTTCAGCAATTTGCAAGGTGCTTTTCAGTTTGTGAAACCTCTTTAAATCCTCCAAATCTTTTTTGTTCAACCTATGCAATCTGTGAATTTCCTTTGATAATCGTCCCTGGTATCAGTGATAAGGTCCGACTAAATCCCACATCAGTACCAAGCTGCAAGTTACTGGCTCAATGGATGAAAGGTTGTGGAACTGCGCTATGCATCACATCTTTCTTTAAGCGCAGTTTTAATATCATAAAAGAAAGCTACTCCCCTAGAGCCTCTTTCTTCTCTCAAGCTAGAATTCTATGAAGTTCTCATAAGCGTTACTAAAATTTAATGTAGAAGAATGGATGTGGAATGGATACAAATGTGGAATGCTTGAAGATTATGCAGTTATGCACTCCTGGTTCCAACAGCCATGCATCTCTGCTCAAGTCGTCTTAAACTGCATCACCAAGTCAAGTGAATATATATATAAATTTTTTTTACTTCACAAATTTTTCACTTTTTTCTTTTTCATTTTCTTCTTTTTTTATTTTTTTAAATCCCAGGGAATGCTAGAAGTGACCTGGAAGGCATACCTATAGCTGTGAAAGATAATTTCTGTACAGCCAATGTAACGACTACTTGTGCCTCAAATATGCTGGCAGATTTTATTCCGCCATACAATGCAACTGTCGTTGAAAAGTTACATAGAGCTGGTGCTGTTTTGATAGGAAAAACTAATTTGGATGAATTCGCAATGGGGTAAGATCTGAGTAAAAGTTTAAATGTCCTTTTTCATTATTTTAATTGATTTCAGATTTGATGAAACTTCAGCTGTACGTTGGTATGTCCAAATATACTACAGCTCTAGAAGAATATTGACTTCAAATGACTTTTCATATCCAAAGTGCAAAGGCGTGGCTGAAATTTTGTCGAACAGTTTGCCAACAGCATTTGTTTGGCATTATTGATTAACATAGCAGCAACATGACAAAACACCTGCCATGGAGCAACATTGCTGTAATATTTTTGGCAATGTTGCTGATAATTTTTCTACAACATTGTAGCAACATTGATTTGCTGGATGTTAATTTATTTATTTTGTTGTTTCTCCACTCACCCCATCACTACCAAGATCAGATCAGCTCCAGCCTTGATTGATCATCTGGTATTTGCTGGATTGACAGAATATTTTAGAAGCAACATGACACCAAAGAAGTAAGGAGGCTTCAATGATGTATTTAAAAACTGGGTTTTTTAGATTGGTTTTATGACAATCAAGCTTCCTCTTTTTATTATAAATCAAGATTAAGTGGCTCGAGAATTTTGATATGCTTGTATGCATCTGAAGAATGTAAGTGGCAGAAAAAGGATCAAATAGTCCAAATGTGAATACTGTTAAATTAAAAATATTCTGGAGCGTTTGTGTCAAGAAAGTCTGGTATAAACCCAGGAGGGAATTAAAGGTCAGGAACGAGATGCTTTTTCAAGCATTAGCTGTTTGTTGATAGCGCATGCCTCAAAATGATGGAAGCACGTCAGTCCATTACTCACAAGCCATAAATCTCTTTGCCATCAGTTCAAATTAATTTCGATGGCTAAAATGCGGAACCACGTATCTCAGTTAGTGACATTTCAGGCTTCCTGTCATACTTCATTTTTTTTTTGTGGAAAACTAGCTAGCGTAATTTTCTGGAAACTGCCTTGATTTTTCTTTTCCATGTGCAGAATATTCTGTATGAATTTCAAGCAATGAAGTTGGCTTGTTTTTTTTTTTTTTGAAAAAGTAAAATTGGAATAGAAATTTTGAAACACGACAACAAAGAAATGTGGTTTTGCACTTAGGCCATCGATTTGATATTTTGAAACAACACATTTTTGTTCTTTTTTATATTTTAGTTGTGGAACTGTTGAGTCAATATTCGGCACGACATTGAACCCTCATGCTCCTGTTAAAGACTCTGAAGGGATCAAGTGGAGGACTTGTGGCGGAAGTTCAGGAGGAAGTGCTGTCGCTGTAGCAGCCAATACTTGCTTAGCGTATGTATTTTATGAGTTCACCTTCGAATAGTCTAATTCTACTTGGTCAGAGTCCTTCACTTCGCGGCAGCTAGGGTAAGTCCTTGCGCAGAAGTCCAGAAATAGTATCATTCCAATCGGAGTTACGCAAGCGGTTGGAATTAAATGGATACCATTGGATAAACAGAGTCATTGAGGCTCATTAAAATTATTTTAGTATACAAATAAATGGGCAAATTAGTAAAATAAAAAACAAGATGGCCAGCTCCAGCAGTTCACAAGAAAAAAAGAAGAACAAATAAGATTATATATCAGAGGCAGAGTCAAAAATTAAAAGTAACTTGAGCCTCAGCACCCTCTGAATTTGACAGAGAAAATAGTATCTAGCATAATCCCTGGGGAGGTCAGATCGGGGCCGGCGTGGCGCGAGATGAGAGCTCGCTCCTCAATCACCCACATTTTTTCTCGGTAGAGTGGCACCTAGGAAGTGCGATTTATTAAAGCCCATCCTTCTCAGTGGATCTTACGGAACATCATTTAAAAAAATCTCGAAATTCAGCTTGTGCCAAATTTCTAGTATTCAGTCTGTAGTCAACAGCATCATTAGTTCATCATCAGTTAGGGTAAAAAAAAGTTTCCAAACACTGTTTCCTTTAAGGAAATTTGATCTATGTCATATTATTTCATATATTTTAATGTGACAGTGAGCACTTTGCTTCCAAGAGCAGAAGGGAACTTTTGCTGAAAATTTCTTCCGCTCAATAAATTTACAGTGACGTAATCATGAGATTTCCTTTTCCATTCAGGGAAAAATCAGGTAAAACTCAGGGAATTTGAAACTTACAAAAGAGTCAAAACCCTGATTTAAAGTCTTGCCATGTTGGCCCGGTAACTCCGCAGTACTCATGTCCTAAATTTTCTATTGTTGCAGTGCCATTGGATCTGACACTGGTGGATCAGTTCGGAACCCTGCCTCATATTGCGGTATTATAGGATACAAACCGACGTATGGTCTTGTTTCTAGGTATGGTCTTATACCGCTTGTGAATTCAATGGATGTTCCTGGAATTTTATCGAAAGATGTTGATGGTGTTGTCTCTGTTTTAAGTACGTCTCAGGTGACTTTTTTGTTAGTTTTTCTACTGCACAATTTTCATACATTTGTCATTTTATTTTTACACACACTCCTTACCTGTTTGGTAACAGTAAAAAAAAACGTTATTTGCAATCTTATGATATTTAAATTAAAAATTTGGATGTTATCAAAGATTAAAAAAGCATAAAATGTTTTAATGTGGGGATTCAACCGGTGCCAACACAAAGAAATAGTGTGATTAAAATTGGAGATGATGGCAGGGAAGGTCTCCCAGCCAGGAAAACCTTAATGAAAGGCAAAACTGGCCTATCAAAGAGAAATTTTTCTCAGTTTGCCCAAAAGCTGTTTAAAATGCATCAGAGACAGTCAAGGTCCAATGCAATTTAGGGTAAAAAGGAAAGCAGCGAACTCATTTTATTTAGAAAGAAATAAGTAATGAAGAATTCATCTTATATTGGCGGCAAATTGAGCCTTACTTGTGGTGGTTCACATTAGCGGTTTTCATAGTGTGACTAGAGGAACATTTGAGGTTCTTTAGACAGATAAAAAATGAAATGTCAGGAAAAGAAGAAAAGATCAAAATTGAGGAATAGAGTCAGAAGAATTTTTGAATCGCGAAAGAGGGAGGATGTAATCATATTTTCACTTAATTGGCAGGATTTGACTTGGCCATCATAGTTATTCCCTTTTCCGAAGATTTTTTCCTCAAAAGAAAAGGAGCATGCTAGGGTCAGCTTGATACCTCTTCTTACCTTGTCAGGCTCCAAAAGACAAGCTCAGCATCCTCTGCCTCACACAATAGGTACTTAAAAGGTCTTTAGGAATTAGAGTGATACCATCTATCTCTTACGGGATGATGAGCAGAAAAGTTGAAAGCGGAAAAAGTTTGACTGTATTAAAACTTATCATTGAATTAATCTACAGATGTAATAGGAGGTCATGATCCAAAGGATAGCACCACTGTAAAGGATGAGTTTCAACCTGTCGATGTCTCAGTCAGCATACATCCTCGAAAAATTCATGTTGGTGTTCCTAGGGAATTTGATATCCCGCAATTATCTGGTGAAGTGAGAGAAGTGTGGAAATCAGTGATGGATATTTTTAAAAAGAATGACATCAAAGTGTCCCAGGTAACTTTTCTTTCTCAATAAAATTAGGCATATTCCAATATTGCAAATACATGAGCACTTTTCATTCCAGGCTGGGTTCGTAAAACTCCTCATCTCCATTTACGTTCCCATAAAATTCTGGAAACAATTAAATATTCTTACCACTTCAGCAAGTCTTATTATTCAAAGTTCATTCTACTAAGAGTAATTTTTTCAATTGGTTTCACAGTCTTGTGACATTCTTTTCAGTAACTATTACCTTTGTAATAATGGAAATTTTTAGAGGTAGAAAACCTATATTCTGTCGTGTTACTTTAATGTTGCCAGCAAATTGCGTGAGTAAGGAAAGTGGTATCCCATTGAAGATTGTCTTTAGAAAATTGTGAGCGCTTTGATTCCTGCAATGAATATACAGTCAGAAACAGTGCTCAGAAATCAGTCAACATCACACCATCAAAAATATTCAAAATGGTCAATAGTTGCCAGGTTGCAGTGGTCGAGAAGTCCAAAGTTTTAGTAACCATTTTGAGTGAAGTACCCCGTAACACATCATTATCTAGGCCATTTTCTGATTAAAAGTCCATTATTCATCATATTATTGGTGCCAGTGGCCGAGTTAATAACAGTTCTGAAGAACTTTACCTAAATTGCTGTATTCTAATGAATTGTGAGGACTGGTTGTCAGGGGTTTGAATTTTGCTGCAGTGATCTTTCTAAAGTATTTCAATCGCACAATGCTTGTATCCGGGAAGCAGAAACATACATTATACAGGAAGAAACTTCTTAAGCAAAAATTTTCTCATTTTTAGTCGCACTGCTTGGGGCTACACTAGTTACAACCAATTGGAAAGGCAATCACTGAGGCTTTTCAGCTCTAATTGGACCCATCCCCAACACAGTGCAGCTTCCTAATTTTGTGCTTCCAAAGGTGAGCAGGTCGCCAAAATTACTTCAAGGTTTGGGCAGGTTTGAGCTTCAAGGCTGCTTTGCTTTTATGCTGCGTTCAATTAGACCCGAAACACATTCACGAACGTAATCTTTGAAAAAGAATTGCAAATGTTTGCTTTGGGTGAGCCTAAATATCCTATACTGGTGAGACTTGAGGGAAGTCAGTGGTTGTCAACCACAATTAACTTCATCACAGATTTTTTATTTTAATATGTTGTCTCTAATGAAGTTAATCAATTCTGTTGTTCTTTTTAATAGGTTACGAACAATTTGCAAACCTGAATAACTACAATATTTTCAATTAAAAACTATCTTTTTCTCAACTTATGATTTTAGGTATCTATGCCTCACACAGCCTTTTCTCTTCCCACATATTCTGTTTTGAATTGTTGTGAGGTTGCAAGCAACATGTCCAGATATTCCGGGCTCTTCTTTGGTCTTAGAAGTGAAGAAGAATTCTCTGCTGAACAGTTGTTTGCTGAGAATAGGAAACATGGATTTGGCAAAATTGTCAGGCAACGAATTTTAGCAGGAAATTTTTTCCTTCTGAGAAGGTAATTTATGGAAGCAATATGCCTATCAGCAACATTTATGTCTCAGCACAAATGGGCCTGTTGCAAACTTTTGCTAGAGCAAAAATTAGAGTTGTTTCTTACAGTTAATGTCTCAAAAATCACAATGAGCGCATCGGCAAACTCTGAAATGCACTCCTAACTTCACAATCTGCGTAAGAAATTTTCGTTTTTTTCAAGCTTCCCGCTTCAAAAAGGATACCACGGCACAGGTGGGCGTTTCGTTAGAGGAGTCGTTCCATTCAATCCCAGCCCAACATGGCTGACACCTCCGCGCGCAAGTTGAGGAGAGCACGAGGTCAATCAAGGCGGATATCTAACAACGCGAGAAAAATGTGAATGTAAACACGCCGATTGTTATCAGATGGTTAGAATCATCGTCCCATCACATGTGTTTTGGCAGATTAGCGTCGGCTATGTTGAATATTGCGTATTATTCTTGTGAGCAGGGGTTGGATGGAATGACTTCTCCAACGAAATGTTCACCTGTGCTGTGGTATCGTTTTTAAAGCGGGAAGCTCAAAAAAACTCAAATTTTTTATGCGAATAGTGAAGTAAGAAGTGCATTTCAGACATTGCCGATGCGCTCATCGTGATTTTTTAGGAACTTTCTATGAGTAACAACTCATATTTTTGCTCTAGCAAAAGTTTGCAACAGGCCCATTCTATGTATTGTTCATTGAAAGAATTGAAAATCTTTTGCATCTAATGGCACAGAGATGTCAAGTTTGCTCCTCATATTTTCTGTTGAATCTACATATCTTTCGTGAAACTACCAGAAGACCACGTATCTTGTTTGCAGTGTTAACAAATATCTGCTCCCTCTTTATTTTTTTAAAATGAAACAAATCAGTATCATTTCTTGAAGTTTTCTCTGAGTTCTCTGAGTTTGAGTTATATACATCACATGAATTAATGAAGAGATTCAGCTGGGGCAAAATCCTGTGGTTTTATGTGGAGGGGTTCTTTTGCTGAATACAAAGCAGTGAAAAAAGTGCCTCTCTTACTTGTTAATACTTCCAGAAAATATGTTAAAAGGAAAAAAAGGTGCAACTATACGGTGATTATAAAAAAAGAAAGAAAAATGAGCTTAGTACTATCACTCGCAATAAGCTAGTAGTATCAAGATAAGTTTGTGCAACAATAAAAAAAAACAGCCTTTTTTTCTGGCTCTTATTATTTACGAGATGTGTAATTGATAAGTTAATCAAATTACGCATTATTTTTTTCCTAATTTAGGAATTACATGAAATATTTTGCTCAAGCGCTGAAAGTCAGGAGATTAATAGTAGAAGATTTTAAAAATGTTTGGCGGTCGGGAGTTAACATTTTACTGACCCCTACAACATTGACAACGGCATCTCTCCTGGATGATTTTCTCAGTCAAGACAATTCACTTCAAGATTTTTGCACTCAACCCAGCAACATGTCAGGTGAATATTTTAGCTAACATGATATACAGTCTCTCTCTTTCCCATGTGGATGCAAGAACGAGTAGCTTAGATGGTCAATCTTTAACCAGTTCTAAGTTCCAATTTTTAATCACTCCTGAATTTAATGCTGTATTATTACATGAAAGTTGTTACCAAGGCGGATAAAGAATGGTGGTCGCATTTCGTACCCTCTGGACGTCACACGGTATCGGGTACATGGGCCGGCCGAGGCCGGGGGAGTCGGCTCAACCTCGAATTGCATGGCAAAAGCTGTACCCTCCTGACGTCACAGTGCTTCAAGATGGCAGCCAAAATCGAAATGCGACCACCATTCTTTATCCGCCTTGAGTTGTTACTGTACCGTAAAAATTAAAACATATGAGAGGATTTTATGAAGCACACTTTCAAATTCCTAAAAAGATCTAGTTTTTTAATTTACATCTAGTGGAACATTAGCGAAGTTGTTTTTTATCAATCCAGAGCTGCTCTGAACTTACCCAAAATTTCACCTGAATTTCATGAGATTGCATCATGCTTGTAAGAACCTTCTGTTTTGAAAAAGACAAATAAATAAGATCTTCCTTCCCAATCTGGATAGAAACTTGATTATACTCCAGAACCCGTTTTGTTCTGTTGGGATAGCTTTCTAATTTTTGGTGTATAAAATTCCTTGGTCCGTGGTCACAGTTAAGTGTTGATAGCATCTTTGATCTCATCGATTTCAAAACACCAAAACAACCAAAACAAAACAACCAAAACAAAACAACCAAAACAAGATTTCGATTCTGTGCTGATGAAAAATTTGCTTTAAAAAAAGAAAGAAAAATTTAGATGGACAAATAATATAAATCTTCTCATACTGACAACCCTTCCTCCCTCCCTCCCCCTCAACCTTGAAAATTTCTCCTACCTTAGAAACTTGAGCCAGAGGATATTCGCTGCTAAAATCCCACTTGTTGCAGAATACCAAACGAGGTACAAGTTTCCGTTTATGTAAATGATATTAATGAAAGGAAGCAAAGCGAAAGGAAAAAAAAATGGGCAAAATCTTTATTTTTATTACTAGGTGTTATTTCGATATGGGAAGAAAACTGTGCAGAAAAAAATTATGAAAAATGTCTTGAAAGAGCTTGAATATGTCAAGAAGTCTTCGAGGAGTGCTCTATTTTTTTTTCTTGAGGCTGCATTTCTTGAACCGTGTCATTAGTTAGCTAACTCCAAAATAGGACTTACAATCCATTTTGCCTCATAGAATGCAATTTCATAGTAATTTATCGTGTTTTTTATGTATTTTTGCAGGTTGTCCAGCAATTTCAATCCCTATCACTTTATCAAAAGATTCTTTACCAATCAGTATGCAATTGCTTGCACCGAACTTCAGCGATGAACACTTGTTGCGTGTTAGCAAATGGCTTGAATCGAAGGTTCAGTTTCCATTCATTTGAACTTGAGTGCATAACAGGATGTTTATTTATTTTAAATGAGATCTGTAGTCTAAACTGCAACTGTTAACCAAAGAGGAAGAGACATACAGCTAGATGTGCAAACAGACAGGTTTTCAACTTCTGTGCTAAAGTCTCTCTCAACCAGGAGCCCATGTGTCGAAACCAAAAACATCTCATTCTCAATTTTAGGTATCAAAATGTCAACAAACTTGGTGCTCCATGCTTAATCATTGAATTTATTGAATTCTATCAAGTTAAAATGAATCTAAATGAAGATATTAATTTGTTTATTATTGATATTGTTAATTTGCCATTACTTAGCGCTCATTTATGGGGTCTCTCTTGGTGGCTGGTTGCAGTCAATAAGTGCATGAACTTGTATTGCGTGTGCTGTAGAATTGTTTTGAGTGTTTAGGTCAAAAAATGAAAAATACTTGATCAAAATTAAGTGCGCTGTGGGCATTGGGCCAATGGCACTTATTTTCAGTAATTTTTTCCATTGATTTAGACTGTTGCCTACTTAATCTGAAGTTAACAGAGTGTATTTTAATAGTATTGATTAAATGTCTAATTCTCTTCCTGCAAGCCTCAGGACTGCCATAGGTGTCAATGCTATTTTTACCAGTTTGAAACTCTTAAGCCCATATTTTAGAGACATGTCGTGCCACTGCATACAAAACTTCAAATCTATCCAATGAAAATTCCTAGTACTCTGTTCCTGGGAGCAGAGGCAGGCGAAAATTATTCAGAAATTATTTAGTCAATCGGCAGCATCGATCAATCGTCTCAATGGGACGAATAACTGACGATTGATCCATTTTATCATGTAGAGAATTCTGAGCACCAAACATCTAGTCAGTGTTGCAGCACCAATTTCAGCAACTGCTAAATTATTCCCGCTCAACTCTGCCTGGGAGTATGAGTTTGCAAAAAAGAGCCGTTTTCCGAAGGAAACATTGAATTTCTCATGTGCCGCGATAAGATGGAGCAAATGTTTGCCTAACAGTTCCCACATTAGAAGTATAGAATTTAAGACACAGATCCAAGTGATCGTGAAAGAGTTGCTGGTAAGTTTTGCTGCAGAGAAGGCCTTCCCCACCACAGTGGGCAATTCTGCCAATTCACTCACTTCAATAAAGAAGGCTCTGCTTACTTTCCACAAGCCGCACAATTCATCGTTGTTCGCGATACAGTAGTTGTTTGATGGTCTGAATTCAATTAGCTTAGGAGCTTCTGGTTGAATTGCCATAGAGACTGCCGAGGTGCACTGTCGTTGGTTACTCCAGACCTTAAAATTGTCCCCATCGAGATGTTTCCCAACGAGGGTGCACACAAAAGACCCTGCAAGTTCCATCTGACGATTCATTTTATTAGATTTTACATCATGTCCAATCAGCTTTGTGATGTTTTTGTCGTCAGTATTTGTTACCTTATGTTTAAAAGTATGATTGTTTTGGTTGTTAATTTTGAATAAAGTATTACCTCAAGTAACTGAGTTTCACCATTGCACCCCCAGTGCATATTTTCCTCTATGATTAGTATGGCCTTTTTTTTTTTTTTTTGGACTTTTCGAAAATTTAAATGAGACAAACGTTCAATTAGTGCTTTTGGGTAGGTAATAATTAGGGAACAAGGATTCATGGGAAAAGATAATTTTTAGGATTGAGCGGTCAAGGCCAAATAAAGCTGAAAAATGTGACTTCGGGTCTGATTAAACAGAGAACATCACTAATACTTCTAAATTTGATTTTCAGTTGATTTTTGCATATTTACACATCTTGGCATTCTTGCTTCAACACTAAAATAATTAGAATTCAACAAGAATCCACAAATTTTCAGGTTGTTTAAGGCAGTCAGTGGTTTTTCTCCTTGTTTCTTAAGCAGTGTCTTCAAATAAACTAACCTTAGTTCTTTCCATCAATTTTTGCTCATTTCTTCCAAGTGACATATTACTGGTATATCAATCAATGACAATCAATGGTTTAAATGTGACAAATTGAATAATAAGAATAATAAAAAACCAACAGAAACGGGATATTGAAATGAATAAGTCCGAATGAACATTTTTATTCAGTTATTCACTTACTACAGTATTGACAGTTGTGCATTTTGGTTCTCAGCAATGCTGCGGAGCTTCTAAAAAAGTTACATCTTCTCTCCTGGCATTATTTTTTTTGACAATGGAGCATGTCTACTGTCTTCACTGCAACTACTTGCAGAATAAACTGCATTTCCTCTGTATCACCTAGGCTACTACATATTGTATTCCTCTATGAAATTCATAGTGCATTTGAGAAAAAAGAAAAAGAAAACATCCACGAATTTTCCCTTACAACAGCTCTATTGTTCAAAAATTCATAAGAGCTCCGCCAAGTACTGATATTGTCATCTATAGAAGTTTTTCCTATAACTGATTGGGATAATGAACGAAAATTATCAAAAAAATTCCATTTTTCACTAAGTTTAAGGATGCTTTAGAGAAACAAGGTAAAAATTATGAAAACTGCCTTAATATACTCAAAAATGTGTGCTTCCATGGATTTATTGATGTAGTTAATTAGGGTCAAAGGATTCTCAAGTTAAACAAATATTAGGCTAGGGATTAAGTCGCTCGTCAGAGCTACTCACGAGCAATTGAAATACTACAGAGAAAAACTTGCTATCAACTACTTTCGTTAAGTTTGAATTTAATACCAACGTCAATCTCAGGTAATACATAACGTTTCTCACAAGAATTAGCAATGAATCAATAAGACCGAATGGAGTAGGCTACTGATGCCAGCATATTGTTGGTAAAAAGTGAAACAATGACAAAAGATATCATGATAACTAAGACCCTGCTGGTGATTTTGACAACAAGAATGAAAATGTGCAGGGGCAGTAACTAGTTAAGAATTATGAAACACGATAGAAACCAAAGAAAAACAAAACTAATAAAATTAATTATACTACATGCCTTACAGAAGAAACGAAATACTGAAACTTGTGGGTGAGAATAGAAATAGATCTGTTATTTGCTGTAAAAGCCGTCACAATTATTTAAGAGTAGTGCTATTGAAAAAATGGTAATGAAAAGGAAAATGGTAGATTGGTTGCCACATTGCACCAAAAACTTAATATACTTGAGCTGTTAGCAATTAGCATTGTCAATTTTTTAGTGATAAGGACGTCAGCTGAGCATCAAATTGAAACTGAACAAGGAACTTCGGAAAGCTGATCATCCAATACAAAAATTCTACAAGTAAGGCGATCTTAATTTATACTGAGATTACTCATCTTGCTGGAAAATAACAATTCAAAGACAGCATCATTTAAAAATTTGTAATTAAAGGCTGTAATTTACAGAGCTTGGTCTATGAAGAAACTAAATCCACCGTTGACATTCTTCTCAAACTAGCTGAAAGGCTGTAAACTTTCTTATTAACTACATTGCCAGGCGTGTACAAGCAAATGTAACTGGAACCAAAAAATCTTTGAGAAATATGCAACAATTTATTGGATTTGGAAACCAGAATATAGATTTCTGAATGCTTTCCAACAATGCCTCTTAGTGTACACAGAGGGGATATTCGTTTAGACAATTTACGGAGAGAAAAGAATAGATCTTCAAATTTTTACACTGTAATAAAAAATTCAAAGGACTTAACTCTGACAAAGTGAGACAAAGTTGTGATTAAAATAAGTTTCTTAAAAATAATCTGGCATTACACAATAGATTGAATTATACAATTAGGACCATAGATGAAAAAAGATCAAGATTTTACACTATTTAAACATTAATAACACCTCTGCGCAGCTTAAAAATTAGTAGCACTTCAAATCACCGTTTTGATCAATCATCCTGTTGTGTTCAATCATCGTTCTCTTCCTCTCTGAAACATAACATTCCATAATATTACACACTTGAATTTACAATCGAGGATGCTGCATTTGAAAAAAAGAAAATGTATTCGGGAGAGAAAAAAATAAAATTTATAATCATGAGCTGAACAATGATGAAAAGAACTGACTGCTAGAATCATACTTGCATTAAAGAAAGAGAGTAAAAACTTTAAATGTAAAAACTACCCCCGTTTTTCTTTTTGACGGAAGATGATGGAGAGAAATAAATATTATGGAGAGAGAAAAAGTGGTGAGGTTCACTAAAGCCAAGGCCAAAGGTCCAGCTTTTTTTTTAAGAATCACATTAATTTATTGTAAATAAAACAAATTCAAGCCCTCAGTTGCACTAAAATTTGAGGTGCAAGTGAATTCCACAATTTCTGAGAGGCAAAGGATGGTATGATACTTCCAGGTGGAGGGATGAGGAACGTACCAAAATCATCAACAGTTACTGTTTGAACCTATGGGGGGTTAAATCGCTTTAAAGGGGGAATAAACCTCTTGTGTGCATCAGGGATTTTTTAAATATGTAAGAACTCTATTATATGTAAAATTTTACAAGAAACATGATGGTGCAATTGGTTTTCACTAAAACGAACTTCCAAGCTCAAAAAAGCTCTCAAAGTTAAGTCTACAACAGATCACACTACGTTGAGAGTTCACCTCTATATCCAGTCAAACTCTCCATGCACAGATAGGGTGCAAACATTGGCAGGTTGCCTGTGGTTCCAGCCTTAGAGTTCCCAAGCGAAATGGCAACCTTGCAAATGTATTTGCTCTCTGGTGTGCAAGGAGAGTTTGACAGGATATAGAGGTGGAAACTTAGGGGTAGTGTGGAAGTTTCCCTCACTGTGTCGGCCTTTGCTGCCTCAACTTTGAGAGCTAATTTTGAGCCTCAGAGCTCGTTTCCCAGACAACTAGTGGCATTATCAAGTTCCTGGCGAAATTTAAAAAAAGAGGAAGAACTTAAATCACAAATCCTTGATGCGTGCAAGCACTCCATTGATGGGACCGACAAACAAAATCTGACTCGATAAAATACATAGTAGTACCACAGTATGACAAGCACAGATGGAATCTCCAGCTCATCATAATGAAGAATTTGCATGCAAATTTTTCATTGCTTCATCTGAAAGTGCTTGAAGAGCTGATTTCATAGTATTTTTAATAATTTTTTTCTTATATGAGAAATAGTATAAAAATAGATTTAAAAGTGAGAAAATGCACCGCCTAGTGATGTCATCTGCAACATTTCTCGTTTAAACACACATATTTTAGCAGATTAGATCATTGTGTCATATCTTTTCCAATAATTGTTCAATTCATGAACCGAGGGTATCCTCGTGTTCAGTTCATTCAGTAGTTTCCACTTAAACACCAAATTCATCAAATTTCAGACACTTGCAAATTCTCTATTTATTGTATTCATATGGCTAGACAAGTACACTAACATTGCTATGTTATAATTTTACAACTCTAGATGTGTTTGAGATTCCAGAAGTGGGGGAGGGGGGGGGCAATTATGCAGGCAAAATGACAACTTACTTGGGTAACAGGTCACGCTGGAACTCAACCACATGCTCTTTCTGAGACTGCTGCTTGAATACAATTGAGGCAGGGTAATAGTTATTCTTGTTGTTAATTGACCATCCGGAATACGTGTACGTATTCCTGTATAGAGTTTTCCCCTCATCGTCTTTGAACGGAATGTACTTTTGTAACAAAGCTTTTCCATCAATTCTCCAGAGAGGAGGGTCAGTATCTTTATCAGCCAAGTCGCTTTTGCTGACCAGAAATGCTCCAGACTAGAAATAAAAACAGATTTAACTTACAATTCAAAAGCCGAACCAGTAAGATTCAAAATATATCAGATTTTTACGAGTTTGCTTAGCGCTATCAATTGCAGGGCAGGCTTGCAGTCAGAGAAAATAAGTTAACGAGTTAACAGGACAGGTTGCTTTCCCTTCTCCCCAACTCTCGGATTTACGGTTTCTTTAACCCCCCTTTTTTTTGCAAATCAAGAGAGATATGACGAACATAGCTCAGTGCAAAATACTGGTACCGATCGGTAGGGGCTTGAATTTCCAAGAGAAAAATTCACTGAAAATTAGGAGAGCTGTGTGTCGTTTTGCAAAAAATTACGATCTTGCATGAAAGATTGGTTCTTCTCCAGCGACACATTTTCTCTCTTTGACTTTCCTAGTACTCCTGGTCACTAGATATCCTGCACTATGCACTGCAAGACTTGGTGTTCACTCCAGTAAATGCAGTACAGAAAATCTGCGCATCAGAATGTACATGTAGCTGTGTAGTATTTATCGGAGAAGTTGAAGACGCTTTGGATGCTCTGCATAGTCCAGCGATAATTCGAATTTGTGACATGAGCATTTCCAAATACTCTCAACATCCAGCACATAAAAATAGGTTATTATAAAACAGGGGTGAAGAAAATGCTCGATTAAACACCCGCCCGGGCGCGTGAAAAGGTGGAAAGGCCTCAATTTAGTGGAAAGATCCAATAAACAAGGGTTAGAAGGTAAAATTTTTAAGGGTTATAAATGCTGCAGGCTTTCATATCAGTATGCATGGAGATTCCTGATATTAGCGCATTGCAGCTGACAACACAAACAACGCAATCCGCTGGGAGTTTCATACTATTCCTGGAGACCCGCTAATGGTCAGCTGATTCTGATTGATCCACGTTTTGTCTCTCGCTTCTGATGCATTCTTCAATTTAAAATCAGGAAAAAACTTGAAGACTCCTATGCTTTCTATGTGAATACGTAAGTATGGCAGGCTTTTCATATTTTCAGGACCTCTCCACATTTCTTCCGACTGGGTGAAAGTCAAAGAAAAGTTGAGAATAGAAGATGCAAAATGCGGAGGTACCTAATACATGCACTATTCTTATCATCCTTCCACAACTTATGCTTTTTTCATGTCTTTTCCATTTTTTAGTGCTCTGAACTTTAAAGCCTTGTCACATTTCCAGGAAATTTCCACATTTTCAAGATTCTTCAATCAAATTTTGGTTTAAGTAAATCTAATTTCCTAGTCATAATCAAATGAATCCGCCTTTTTTTTTATTATTTTTAATAACAAGCGATGTTTTTTGTTTTACTATAATTCATTATTAAAACATTTTTAAGTGATAATACTCTCAAAGCATAAAAGCTATGCAGCTAATATGATAAAATTATCCTAAGGAAACATTATCTAATTGTATGAAGAAAGCACTGCAAGATTCGTAATGCTTTCAATCCACAAATTAGACATATGTGTACTTGCCCTGTTGAGGCACGTCAAGTGCCCTTCACTCATTATATTTGGAAGCAAATTTTTTGCCCCCTCCCTCAAAAAAAACAAGGTCATTTCTCTTGAAATAGGGGGGAAATTGTGAGGAAAGCCAACGGCCGGCGCGTGAGAATGTGGAAGCTTAAACGATTCTGCACCTTTGTATTAAATTGCTGAGCCTGAGCTTCGTTCCTAGTATTAGCAATAGCTGAATGAAAGTTTAATTATCAAGCCCAACTTGGTGACTAACAAGACTTTGAGGAGTTAAAATTATTAGAAAAGCACACTTTTTTTAAAACTCTGCTCTCCTTGATTTTGAAGCAAATTTATGAATAACGCTGGATCAAAATAGATGCCCGGATCAACCAATATAGATACAGATTTTTTGTACTGGGTGTCAACTCAATACTGGATAATTTGCTGACATATCTAACCAGATGATCTGGCATTTCAGATCATTGCAGGTAGAGTTACAACTCAACTCTACTCATGAATTATTACTGGATACACACTAATTTTTGGGCACAATACTGCAACTACGCTTGCTTTCTCAACTACTCTAGCTGCGCTGTGTATGAAAATCTTCTGTTCGTCTGGTGAAAAAGGACTTAGTAGAACTTTCTACACCCCTGATGCCATAATAATAGAAAAAAGTCGCAATTTTCATGGGGCCATGAGCCACTCTCTATTTTCAAGATTCCTTTTTGCAACTTTCCTACTTTTTAATACCTGTCTTCGCAGCCCTCCCAATTTCACGTACGGGTGATCACAACATGCAGGTCAGGTGGTCAAAAATTACTTCACCTCCTGAGAAAAACCTTTGTCCTGACAAACATGAAATATACATACCACATAATCCTTGTCCGCTGGGTTAGTAGAATTCAGTGATTTCTCACTGGCGTCGTTGGATTCATCTTCATCATCTTCATCTTCTTCATCCTCCTCATCGTCTTCCTCATCTTCATCTTCTTCATCATCTTCTTCTTCGGATTTTGGCTTTGGCGGCTTCTTCTTTGAGGCAGGGGCAGGTTTCTGTTTGGATTTTGCTGAAGACAGAACAAAAAATTATCCACTTACTATAGGGATTCAAAATTATACAGTGTAACATATGAACAGTTTTCATGCGAATCTTCCTTAAGTTCCCTTGCTGTAAAATTAGACCATACATTTCGACGGCGTAAGTCTGCAATCACATAACCTGTTTGCGGTATCTGAAAATCTCCGCCTCTATGTTATTTTTTTAAAGGAGAACAAATTAACATCATTCCTTGAAGTTTGTGGAGGATTTTTTTTGCACAGAGAAGAAAAATCACAGCAGTTTTAAAGAATTGCTATTGAGTTTTTTCCTTTTAAAGAATGAAGTATGACAGGAAGTCTGCGACGTCGCAAACCGAGTTACATGATTACCGACTTACACTGTCGATTTCTGCCGTGCTGAGGGAAAACACTGTATGAACCTTTAGGCGTTGCCAAATTTCCTTTGATAAAACCTGAATTTCCTGGTAAACTTATGCATATTTCCCCTCCTATTTTTTGGATAATTTTGTTCGGAATTTCACCTGAAATTTCTGAGGAAAAATATTTGTAACTCTTCTGGAAAATGAACGGTTCATTAAAGGAAATTTGGCAACTCTCGAATGTTCATACAGCGTTTTTCCTTAGCATGGTAGATTTGTGCCAAAAGAGCAGGCTGATTCATCGATTTCAAGTTGGAAATCAAGTTTTCATAGTTTGCGAAATACATATGTTTTCTACTGAAATTTTAAAAACACCTACAGTTCACGTGACAAGACTAAAGGGAACCCATCAAACACAGATTTAAACGGTTTTTTAAACATTGTAGTCAATGAACTTCAAAAGGTACCAATCAAATTAATCAATCTTTTGAATCAATGGTACTTCAAGATCAAACGTACTAGAACATAATACCTTTCACATTAGTAAGTTTCTTGCTTATAACTAGAGGCAGATCCAGCAATTTGGCAACATAGGCTTTCCTCCATTTGAACCTGTGTTGAATAATCCATTCTTGATGGAGCACGAGGCTCCTCTGGGAATCTGTGCATTTCCTTAAGTTTAGATGGAGAAAAAACAGTGTTGTTAAATTGCTGGATCCACCAATGCTTATAAAATGATTATCACAAGCCAAGTGGTAAATAGTAACATTCTAAGCACATCTCAGAGGATTAGCCTAAAATTTCTAATTAATTACACACACACACACACACACGCACACACACAAAAAACAATAAAATACAGAAAAAAGACACGCCGTGGTGAGAAATTTTGTCACTTATCAGGGTGTCTAGTAGTTTTTCATTTAGGGATATCCTGAGGAAATCCTGATGTTTCTTGATTTTTTACTGCTAAATGCTGATTTCATAATTTTTCCAATACTTGATTTTTTGCAAAGAAAAATTAAAATTTCTGCATAAGCGTACGCAAAAGCAGAACGCTAAAATTATTAAGATATTTAAAAACAAGTGTGAAGCAATGAAAATGTAAATATATGCTAATGAGCCAGATCGAACCGATCGGACGGCCGACTTTTCTCAAATCCTGATTTTACCGCCGATTTTACCTCAAATCCTGATGAAATCGGGATTACATTCTGATTGACCTTAAATCCTGATAGAATCAGGAAAATCCTGATGCTAGACACCCTGCTATTGAAAGATGAGCAATACTTACGCCCAGGCTTTTTTCTGCTCTTGCGTTCAGCAAATTCCTCTTCATCAAAATCAGCATCTTCATCCTCTTCTTCCTCATCATCGGAACTGGCTGAGTACTTCATTTTCTTTTTAGGTGTAGTCCTCAATCTAGTTGATCTTCTGCTTCCCTGAGAGGTAGAAGTGATCGATCAGCAGAAGAGATACAGTTTAAACGGATGTGAGTAATCATGAATGACATGGTTGCATTCATTTTTAAAATCAAGTTCTCGAGAGAAAACTTCAAATTACCTATTATCACGGACTTGATTGAAATTGTAATGCCTTAGAGCTTACAGCCAATAGCACTAATGGCTGCACTAATCCACAAGCTAATTTCCTTCATTTGTGCTTGCCAAGATTGCAGAAAATTCGCAATTTTAGATTGCAGGACAATGTGGAACAATTCTCAAAATTTGAGCAAAATAAAACTGTTATGAGGACGGAAACAACAGAAAGATACATTGAAATAAGGTTATTGGGCAGCTATGAATTTATCTTGAAGGTGTCAGACTCTGAGTGATAAGGCTAGATCACCTGAAGCGGCACCCTTTAAGGATTTTTTCACAGAAAACTTTCAGAGAATCCATTTGACAGAAAAGTCTCGCCTTCCTCCACAGACAAATCCAATCATACTATAAAAGGTATGAAGTGAGTCCATGAGACATTTTGCATGTCTGAGTACTAACAAAGGTGAATTTCTCAATTGAAAAACAAATTCACACATTTACAACTAATTAGTGAGCCCTTCGGTAAGGTTCATTCATACAGTATTATGAGGGGAATTTCAAGGATGCATTTGGTGTACTTGAGGTGACATTAAGCAAAAGTGCAATCAATACCTTGTCAGACTCAGCATTGTTTTCCTCGTCAACCTCATCAGGTTCATCAGCGTCAAATTCTTCACCTTCCGAATGATTTTCTACAGTCTTCTTCATTTTGGGTGATTTGATATCTGTTGAAGTCAGAAATTTTTAAAGTATGAGTATAGAGAAAATCATAAAATGAGAAAAAAATGTGTAAAATATTCATGTGAAACATGCCTCTCGATTGGTGGCATTCTGAAATGCAGCGAAACGAATCATCAATCATTCATGAGACGAAAGGATATTAACCGAGAACAGCAATCATCTACGGGTCATCAGTGCATCAATGATTGAGACAGTTGCCGCTTTGACCAAAGTGGCCCTTGTTCAGCCGGTGTTGCATGAGCAGCGCTTCTGAATTGGACAATTTTCAATATTAACTCAGCTTCAATTCTTTCAGTTATCAGACAATGTTACTCAAGGACTGATCAGTTTCTTCAAGTGAGACTTTATCCTCTTGCAAAAAGGCTCTCAAGAATTTTTCCATCAGATTAACCCCTAAAAAGGTATCGGCATGAAAGGAATGCGCGCTGTTCGTTCTCCCAAAAGAACACATGTTAAAATGCAGCTAAGTTCCATCTACTAGTGTTACGTCACAGAAATGTGGTTATGGCATCTTCGTCCGCGTAGGCATAAAACTGGAGACTCCCACTGATCAGAATGCTATTTTCCTCGGCAGAAGGAAGCTTATACTTAGTGCTCACTAGAGGTACATGATGCCCAATTGGACGTATTTCTGTAAAATGGAACTACGTGCATTGAGACTTGAGCCCTGATACCCATAAGAATACATACATACCAGGGCTCAAGTAATAATGCACATAGTTCTGTTTGGCAGAAATACGTCCAATTAAATTACAGAGGCTAAAGATTTATCGGAGCAGGGGCTTCATTGATACTTTGAAAAAGGCTTTAACCTGTTTCCCACTGTTCATGGCTGCTC